CCATCACATTTATTGGTTGCAGTAATATAATTTAAGTTTGATTTTAAATCATCTCATGCTGATAGGAAATTTCATTCCCTAACCTCCTATTTCCCTGGGCTGTAAATATTGCTTTAAATTGAAGCAATAGAGACATATTTAAGGTTAGAGCAACAGTTAGGAAAATTAAAGCTGCAATTAGTGAGAAAATAACCTGTAAGAGAACCTGAGCATTCTTTAATGAGTGAGATTTTGTATGATTTTTCTTAGAATTTGTTAGTTAACTAAATGATACGTTTCAACTAACCATAAAATGGTCACTTTTCTTGACATATTGCAGATTATTGTGTTCCAGAGAAGAAACACCCAAATAATACACTGGAAAAAACAAAATCTATAATCAAGTAAAAAATTCTTAAATTAAGTGTATTTACCCTTGATTTGAATAGGTAAATGAGATAATTTGCCAACTGAATAAATATTTTCACTCTTAAAATAACATAATTGGATAATATGCATATGAAATAAGACAATGCAATTGTGTTTTCTTATTTGTAAAGTATATTGTCTCGTTCCATTGGCAAAATATCTCTTATCTCCTTGATTTAAGTACAAATGCACTTATTTTAAGAAAAAAATGACTTATCAAAATTTTTATTTTTTCCATTGTAGACTCGTTTGTACACCAGTCTTTTTGGTATTCCAGCTTAAATTGATGACAGAGAAATGGAAGTACAATAGAGTACCCTAGGAGAGTGTTTGATGATAAAGGTAGCCCATAGACACATGAAATAAACCCATGAAGAACTATAGGCTTTGCCTGTCCTGTTTTACATACCTTATGGTAAATGGTAAATGGCCTGTATTTATAAAGAGCTTTTTCAAGTCAGGATACTTGACCAAAGCGCTTTACACTACATTCAGTCATTCACCCATTTACGCACACACTCAAACACTAGTGGTGACAAGCTGCATTGTAGCCACAGCTGCCCTGGGGCTCATTCACAGAAGCAAGGCTTCCGTACACTGGCACCTACTGACCACCATCAATAGACAATGCAGGTTAGGTGTCTTGCCCAAGGACACAACAACACTTGAACCGAAGACCTTCCAGTTGAAGGTCGAACTCCTGTATCAGACACCACTGTCGCCCCTAATGCTCATTACAGGCCTCCAAGTTTCAATACATTTAGAAAAATTTCAAACCTTAATTATTTATTCTACTACCTGTTTTTATAATTTTTTTTATTTTTGCTATCCAATCAATAAACAGCAAAACTAAATTATCTTGGGATTACAGTTAGTGAGAAGCAATCCTTTACAGAAATTAGGCTGGACTTCTCCTGTGATTAAATGCTTTGCATGTCTAGGCTCCTTTCTATGCTGTCTGCTGCAACCTGCAGCCTGTCAGATACAACGACGGCTTCACAGCTGCACATATGGCAGCAAGTCCCCTTAAAATGCACGCGCACTAAGCTGCGACGTACAAAATTTAAGCCTGCTTTCTCTGAAAGGAGGATTTGAAGAAACAAGCCACAGCTCTAAAATCTGTCCTTTCTGCTTGAGAAGATACGTGAATTTTTTCCACCCCATTTTTAATACCCTTTTAATGAGATGACTGAATTATGGATTGAGTACAACTTTAGTAGGAATAAAGTTTCTTCTCCTGAACATCAATTTAGGTGCATTTGAGGTCTGGGCTTGAGATTCACAAAGATTATCTCATTTATTTGAGAGCGAGCTCTCGTGCTTGAGATGGAGCCTTTTTAATATTCATTTTTCGTGCATAGGAATTCGTGAGGAGAGTTGTAAAAGTTTGATTGGGTTATAGCCTTGCCTGCCCTCCCTTTCATGATGCTGGGCGAGTGCTCTAAAACTTGAAAAGTCCTTTCTGTATTTGTTCTGTCTGCCCTCTCTTCAGCCCTCATCACTGCATCTACAGCGAGCCCCCGAGCTGCTGCGACAGCCGGAACGCCGGTCACGACTCCCTGCTCCACAGCTCCCTATAAAGCATTTACATATCCATTTAAAAAAATCTTTTTTCTCATTTTAATTTGCTTTGCTGAGTATTCCAGCTCTTTTCTTTTCTGTACCCATCCACCTCCCTCTCCGTTCTTTTTTTAACGCCACACACGGTCCATGGATGCTCTGCCTCTGGTTTCAAGACAAGCAGATTAGACTTGCATGAGGTCCCGGCCTATGCATTTCCCCATCAGGAAGCTCAGAGTGTGACCTCATGTGTGTTTTGCACAGTGGGTGTGTAAAGCGCATGCTAATGCAGGTTGGAGAGATGACAATCCAATGGAGACACATTGTGTGGGTCGTCACTTAGAGAAAGGAAGACCTAGAACTGCAGACAGAGGCAGAGAAGAGAGGGCCACTGTCTGCTTCCACACAGCACTTTTTAACTTCCCTTTCGATTTGCACTCTACAGACCCACAGGCCACTATGAAACCGGCTTTTGTGAGTATTGATTCCCTTATAGACAGCAGCTCTGTCAGCGTTATTAATCATGTCAATCTGTTCTAAATGGCTCAAATTAAAGTATTTCTGTGGGTAATTGTTTTCCATTAAAGCTTTTTCTGTTGTTATCCACTAGAAAGGCTAAGTAGCATCACTGGACAATCCAGGATTTGTTTTCTAATAGTTTCTTTGAAAGTTCTTCAATTGTATTCAGTGATGCATCTATTAGCCTTTTTTCAGTCACTCATGAATTACAGTTTTCTGTTAAGTCTCACATGGTGATCTGATTCTAAATATCGTATGTTTAATGAATTTATTGAATGAAGGGTCTAAGATTTGAAAGTTTGACCAACAGATCAGAGGATCTTTCACCAGATTTGATTGTTTCTTCTGTAATTTTCATTTTTAGGTCCATTTATTTTGTGTAATTCTGCAGCTTGCTAAAAGAAAAGAGACACTTTGCTGCCTGTTCCTTTACTAGCTGAGTTTTTATAATATATACATTTTTTTATTCAGCTCAGGCCTTTTTTATAACAGTGAGAAAGCCTAAAAAACCCACCGCATTCTTCAGAGTCTAAGGTGATAATGCCAAAAAGCTCTGATTTATTTAGTAACCCATTATTTATTTATCATTGATCAGAACCGATCATGGGGAAATTGACTGATTCTGATTTCTGATCACTTGGTCGGTGCTGAAGTTTTTTTCTGTTGCTCTGCAGCTCCCACATTTTAGTCATTAGCAAAATAATAAAACATGCAGGATGAAATAATATTTATATATATATTTTTGGTCATTGTACTGTACTTCCAAAAATGAAACCGTGACATTGGGCTATTTAAGGAGGAGGTTGGTGCAATTGCTGACGGTGCTTTGTCCCGCTGTGGCATTGAGGTTTTGGCAACTTGCATCGAAAGTGGGCTGTTTGTGTTCCCTTTGATGCCTCTAGTCTTCAGCCAACTCCTGCTTTGTTGCCAGTTTATCATTTTTAGACCCTCCTTGCCTCTCTCGGTCCCAGGTGTCCTTTATCATCTCTCAATATGACGTCTTCTCCTTCATTCATTTGCCAGATCTTTTTGTTGTTTTTTTTTCTTCAGATTGTTAAGGCAAAGATATTTTAAACTCCCAGTTCGGTGAAGTTATTGTGCTCAGTCATCCTGGAGCAGCAGGCCTGCTGTGAGCAGAATGATAAATAGGTTGATCGTTGCTGGCTGTTCAGCTGTTGACCTCCACCTTTTTGGTGACTTCTGGCCTTTCTCTTTGTTTTTCTCTATTTATAGGGAGTTCCTCTAACAATGGATCCCTCCATTTCTTCTCCCTCCAATTCAGTCCTTGTTTTTTTCTTTTTTTTAAACACCTTCCCCTATCTGTTGTTTCTCATGCTTCTTTCCAGCTTACGTCTAAACCATCATTTTTTTCCTCCTAATATGGATATTTTACCTTGAAGAAATTGTCTTGCTCACACCCACTGATAATGATATATTTTCTCAGTTCTTACACTATATCACACCTGTCTTTTACGCCTGCTGCCTATGAATCTCATTGGCCTTGGTAGTACTCCCTTTCCCATTATGAAATGCAAGTAAAAGTGAGACAAAAACAACCGTGCATTTTCCTCCCGCATCTACATGCAGGCTGGTGTTACAGTGCTTTTTTTTTTTTTTTTTATAAACCAAGTAGTGACTAGTGAATTCTTATAAAATTGCTGAACATGTTGCAAAGTTACAACCTCTGCTTCAGTTCTGGGATTTCCTCTTAAGTGAAATTAAAAAGATATTGTTTTTATGCTTCAGGGTGGTACCATAGTTATATATTGTGTGCCTTTTCCTCAGAGCTATGCCTCCCTCCTTTGCAAACCCTTGGCTACTTTATGTTACCAGTGCCGTGCTTTGTCATAAGTGAAGCAAAAGCTACAACCATTTTGTAGGGGTCGGATTTTACAGACTATGAAGCCACTCTACAAATGCAGTATTTTTGTTTTGCGTTTTTTTTTACAATTTGGTGTCTAGTTGTTCAAAACTACTAGCTATTGTTCGCAATGGTTATGTTTATTTGTATGTCCAAAATATAAATAATAGGAACTAACCCTGCTGTTAGCTAAGTGCATGTTTCTGTTTTATTTGTAAATGGTTCTATTTTCTTGTCAGGTCGCTCTTGAAAAGAGCTGAGGGTTTAATCTGGATAAATGAAGGTTTATGATCTAAATATGCATTACAATTAGAGTTTTTTCTTTTTTTTCTGAGGACGGTTCCAAGGCCACACAAATTTATTTCAAACCCATAACACTTATCTAACAAATTTCAAAGGTCTTAAAAGCTTCCTAGTAAATTTAAAATGGATAGTATTACTTTCCTTCCAGAGTGTTATGCACTGCTTTACATACTCCTTTCCCATGCAATCTATATTGGATTCATAAGTGGGTTTTTTCATAGCTTTACAAACTTTTAATCCGTTTTTTGTTAAGGAAATGAGAACATTTTCACAAGACACATGCCTCGAATTTAAATGAAAAAAATAAAATAAGAAAACAGCACAAAAAGCATGAATTCTCTGTTGGCAGACACAGATGTCTTCTTCTGTCCCAAAACAAGGAGGATCTAATTCCACCGAAAGCGTAAGATGCCTGTTTTTATATGAATACTGCCGATCTGCTGGTGGTTTGGCTCTGTCCTTTCTTTTTATCCAGGTAGAGGGGATCTTCTCAGCCTTTATTACTTCTATTATAAATAAACCCTTGGTTGCCTATTAGTTATTTCTTCCTTCAAGCCGAAATGCTTTATTATAGCATGACGGCAGCATGTTTTTATCGAAGTGTAAGTTTTAAAGTTACACTTCCTTCTCTACCCCTCTGAGAGATATTTCTCTTTATTCGGTCATTAGACTTCTGCACCATGAGTGATGACGTTAAATTGCACACTTGTGGCAGGTCTTTTCATATTTAATTCCACTAATGGGAAGCCGTCTGGAGGCTTTTTAAGCAAAACTCTAGAAGCACTGCAGACGCTGCTGCAACGACCCTCAAGAAAACGCATAAAAAGCCGCTATGCTGCTGTATTAGCTGCAGGATCTGAAGTTACTGTATCTGGCAGCGGTGACAGCAACCCTGTCGTTTCTTTGCTTTTATTTGCTTCACTCCTGATGTCAATGCATAATAAGCTCTAGGTTGGCTCAGAGGGTTCCCATGTTTTATTGGAGCAGTTCAATCCTTCATTGTCTGTGGGATTATTTGGAGATTGAACACTTGTGATGTTTACATTTTTTCTAGGGTGATGCATGTACCTATTGCTAGAAACATGTTTTTTTGGGGGGGTTCTCTCAGGTGAAATTTAATGCTCTGTTTTATTAACCTGGTGTGTTTTTTCTATGACGATGAGTTTAGCTAATTAAGTACTAATACAGGTTTCCATTGCAGCAATATGCCACTAACTTTACAAATAATTTAAAACCAAAGGATGGACTGAAACACTGTGATGGATAAAGATGAGTGTTCAACTTTTTCTTGGTTCCTTTGGCTGCCTATCAGAGGGTTTATGTGCATGCTCTCAGCTGTCTGTGCAGGGTTTTTCCATGTGCTCAGTATTTCCTCCCAGTAAAGACCATGCATGTGAGGTCATAATGTAAGGAGTGTTTGTGGGTTTCTGTCTCTTTGTGTTAAATGTGTGATGGAGTAGCAACTTCCCAAGGGTGGATCCCTCTGCTGGTCCAATTTCAGTTGCAATAGGCTCCAGCTCCCTGATGTCTGCATGTAGAATAAAGGATGGAGCCACCGCTGTCACACCCTGTTCACTGGGAAAATTATTCTGCTGTAGGACTTTAGGTTTTGTTTTTCAATTCTGGGTCACTCCATGCAAACTGGCACACATAACCTGCTTTGTAACTTTTAAAGCTTAGCATAAAAGCTAAAGCATACAGCTCTTTAGCTAAGGTTTTACAATGATTATCTGGTTCTAAAATGTTTATCAAAAAATGATTTGAATAGATATATGGGGAATTTAGCCTAATTATTCACCAAAGGTAAACTCCACAAAGAAGTTAAGAAAAAACTGCCAATACACTTTAACCAGCCCTGCAACAAACTGATGGTTCCCTGCACACAATTGAAAAAAAAAGACTTCTTCTTTCTCCAACTGTAGTCAGTGAGGTTTGGTTAGTTGTGGTTTTTACCCCAAAACAGCCCTCAGTTTTCTGCTACTGAAGCAGTAATTTCAGGATCTCCTGACATTATTATTACGAATGTGAGCTGGTTAACTTTAAACTAGATAATAATTTTTTGTGTCAATGCAACCAAGCTATATTTAGCTTATGTACCATGCCCATATTCACACTGTACAGGAGAACAATGTTCCAACAGATTCAAACCAAGATTCTAGTTACCCCAAATTTTTAACTTTGGGGTTTTTTTGTTTTTGTTTTTACGTTGTTTTCTAAAAACTTAATCTACCAGTCAAGTTATGAAAATGCTTCCCCTCATTGATTCAGATTCCCAAATGAATGTCTTGCTATTATGCAGCTTATTTTTATTCTGGGTGGCTGCTCTCAGCTTAAGCTGCTCCTCCACTTTAGTAAAATAATGTAAATAAAGTTCTAACAAAACTGTTAAAACCTTTCACTTGGTAGGAATCTCCTACCTTTACATCTTTATCGGTTTGTTTTTTTCTTTAAAATACACTTTAGTGAGTGTGTTACCATGGTTTTGCTGTTTTACAATGATAATAAAGACATTCTGATTCTGACTAAAAGGGAAATCTTAGGTCAGCTATAAACCTCTGAAGGCCTTTAAACTAATTGGATGCAGTTTGTGAACTAGAAGAATCGGGCGGATTGTGTGCATGGAATGACCCTGTTGTTGCAAAGAAGATATTTTCTGTTCAATTAGTGCTCAGGGTGTGTGTTTAATAGAATGCCTTTTCTTACATTTCACCTCTATCTTTTCTATCTCTAGATTGAGAAGATCATGACTCTTATCGGAGCTGGCATTGATTTCTCCAGAGATCAGCACTATGCTTCACCAGGTAAGATATGACTCCAAAAGTTTCTTTCATGCACTGACCATTAATTAGCCTTTTCTGTCAGTACAGTCACAGGGAATAACGAAGTAGACCTTTACTGCTTTTAATGCTTTCATTGATAAATGAAAATAAAAGGAGTTGCTTGGTGCAGTTAATCAAATAGAGCACTAGATCAGCAAAGTGTGACCACACCTGTAAAAAAAGATGTTTTTGCAGTTTGCTGGTCTGTAAGCGTGCGGGAAATACCGAGTGAGGGAGACAACAAGCAACAGAGCAGCCAGTGATGCTCCTCATGACTCTAGAAATGTGTTTAAGGCCATTTTCAAATAAGCTAAATGCCAAAAATTTGCAGCAAGAATGTTTTAATTTCTGTGAGATCAATAAAGTAATATCTGATCTTATCCAATCGGAAAACATTTTGGTAGTTTCCCAGCAGGACTTACCTTCCGCTCAGAAAAGTGTGGAACTACATGCAGGTTTTAAAACCTTAAATTTTTGGTTAAAATGAATGGGAGTAAAGTCCCAAGGAGGTAAAAATGGCTCCAACCCCAAGTTTCTGCTTAGGTTTTTCCATTGACTGGGTACCATAACCTGCTTTGATAGATTCTAACTTTATTATCTTAAGAAAATTTTCAAAGCTAAATTAGTTTTTATATCGAATTTGAAAATCAGATACTTGACTATATTTGGTGTTTGGTTTAAGTCCCTGCTCTCCTATTACTGTTCAGGCTTTTCTGAACATTGTCATCAGGAGTGATGGATGACCGGAACTGTAACGGCAACCTGTGCGATCGACTCCTTTCCCTTTAGCATTCCCCTCTCACATCGCTCAACATTCACCTTGACTCTGCATTAGCTACTTTTCAATATATTTTATCAATGCAGCAACTCCTCTGTGTCTCCATGCAGACTTCTTATTCTAACCTTCTGCTTTTTTAAGTTCTGCACTGGAAAGAGCTCCTTAAATATTAAGCAATACGTGTTTCAGTTGGCTGAGTGCATTTTACTGTGTAGTTCTGAGGAAAGCTGACACTTGAGTATTAATCAGGTTAGTGCTCCTTCACAGACTGCATCTGACTGATCTGATGTGGAGTTTGCATCGACAGAGCTTTAAGCTGCCGGGCCCTTGGCTCTGCCTCAGAGCTGCTGCTGTCAGAAAACCATCAGAGGACTCGCTAAAGAAAAGTCTCCCTGCTCAATTTGCACACGGGAGACAGAGTCACTTTTTCCTCTTCTCTGATTACTCTACAGTTTGAAAGCGATGCTCGGATTTGATTGGCTCCGTGCCCGCAACCTCTCTTTATTTCCAGCATTTTACTGATTAGCTCATCAGAGTGAAAGATATATCTGGGGAGAAAAACCTGAGGTGTCGGTGAAAGGCAAAGACTGAGAGAAAAAATTCAGGAGCATAAAAAAACAAATGCAAGTAATGAGGGGTGTGAAGGAGGGTAGCATAGAGCGACACAGAAGCCACCTGCAGTATTTCAAAGAGGAGGGGGAGGTTAGAGTGTGTGGAAGTAGAGAGAGAAAGAGAGGAGAGAGGGAGTAACAGGCAGGACAACGGGCAGACTACACTCCGGCATACAGGATCAAGCAGTCTGCTCTGCAGCTTTTTCGTCTTGGACTTTTGTCTTTAGCTCAGTTTTTTTTCTTTTTCTGAGCAATCTTTGTCTTTTTTCTTTTTTTGAAACTTTCTGTTGGACCAAACGGGGATTAAATATACAGATGTGGAAATCCCATCTGGTTGAGCGTTGGATCTGTTGCATATTGAGTAGATCTGAGGAATACCTTGGAGTGGGACAACAAAGATTTCTGAATATCAATTTTATTTAGCAGAAATGTAGTTATAGCCTATGATATTTATTCGTAATTAAGTAAAAAGTGAAAATTGAGTCTTGGAGGTATTTTAAGTGTTTCTATACTATGTTTACAATATTTGAGATACTTATTTTGTTGAAATAGGTCAGATATCCTTATGTTTGCAGGATAAGAGGCAGTCCTGTCTTTGTACTGACTGGCTGCTCTCAGCTCAGGCTGCTGACAGCTGTCACTGTAGCCCTGCTTTGTGATCAATCTCAGGTCATTGCATTCATGTCACAGGTTTGCTCCCTTTTTTGCCTTTAGTGTTCGTTTTATTTTTATGCATCTCAAAAAAGCAAATGGGAATCTTTGGATTATATCTTTAATTGACTTAAGAAAGGAAGTTATGAACTCAAAACAAGTACTTTGACTATTTTATGCTCAAACTTTTTTTTTTTTATTGTTAAAAAATCAAACATGTTTTCACCTCTTCCCAACAAGCCTGAGAACAAACTGAGTAAAAACGTTGTGGTCACCCACTAGGACGCCTTAGAGTTTATCTCTTTCCCTTGACCCCTTGGACGGGGTGATATACTCCATCTTGGCGAACTGCAGTCCGGCCCCCGCTTCCCAGCGGGAGCTGACGCCCTCTCCACGTAGGACACTGTCTCCACCGGCCTCTTGCTGCTTGTGCGCTCGGCTCTGCTGGCCGAGAATTATGTGGCAATGCCACGTCTCCTCCTCAGAGTGCCGCTGCTACCGACTGAAAGGTTTCTCTCTGCTGAAGCGCTTTCCCCTGTCAGCAGGTGCTGCAGGCCGGCTGCTGGAGCAGCCTGTGGGGGACTGGCTGGAGCATGTGGGGCTGCCGCAGTACGAGAGCAAATTGCTGCTGAACGGCTTTGATGACCTCCACTATATGGTAAATATTGTCTTTTATTTCTGTACTGTGTTTCTAATTTTCTTTCATATGCTACATTTCAGTTTTCCACTGATCCCAACAGAATTCCAGGTTGTGCATTACTCTAATTGATATTAGCTTTGGATGAGACAAGATCCCCTCAGCCTTATCAAAAATGTGATTAACTCAGTGTTTTGTGCCTTGCAAAAAGTCTATTACATTTTGATCTACTGCCCATTACCACCCAGCTGAATTATAATTACCAGGATTTTATGTGATAGAGGAAAAGCTTTGGTATTTTAGTGTGCAGCAGAAAAACGTTTATAGATAAAGCAGCAGTAAACGTTTAGAGATAGATAAAGATGTGAAGTTTAAAAAGGAGAAAGGTTAGAAAATAACATCCCAGGGACAATACTCAGTCCATCATGGGTGATTGTCATAAATGCATCACTGTCCACATTAACATATGAGACATGGAGAATCCATAACAGTGTAGTAGCTTTAAATTAGTTTCTAAAGCCCATAACTCAAATGGATCTGCTAAAAGAGGATTTTTTTTAGTTAAATCTGGCATTAATGGACGTTGGCTGAATGAAATTCCAAATTACATTTATGCAAAAATTTCTTCTGGGCTAGCACTAAAAATCCCAATTAAAGATGTTGCAGTTTTAACCAGGATAAATATGAAACACATTTCAAAGACTTATGCAAAGCATATCAACAGTAAGCAATCAGAAACTATCAGGCTTTTTGCCTAATATTTTTATACTTGGTTGTATCCTGTCTCGGGTCTGTCCTGTGCTTTTAGTCACTCTGTCAGGATCCCTTGATGCTGATGTCACGTTGCTTTGCCGACACCTCTCTCCGGCCTGTAGCATGTGATGCCACTGCGAGTCGGCTCAGGTGCTGTGGGGATTAATGAGGACTGATGCAGGAGAGAACTAGGGACCAAGCGGGAAAGGAGAAGTTAAAAACAAAACAAACATGTTCAACTCTGAAAAAAGACAATAAAAAAACATTAACTCTTTAACCTAAGTGTTCTCAGAAACAGGTCATTATTTACACACAATATGAAGGTGTGGCAAAGGTGTTTTAAATAGTTTCCATCAATAAGCGTCAGACACATGGAAACAATAAGCATTATTAATAAAGGATTGCTAAGAATTGCTGTTTTTTTGCAGAAAATGTGCAGTTTTCTCTGATCAAGAAGGAGCAATCCTCCCTGTTTTATGGAACATAGAATTTCAGCTTTATGCATTTTTTCCATCTTAGCATTCATGTATAAGTCGATGCTGAAGCCTCTGAAGTTTCTCCCAGGGCTTAATCATACTGCTGGTTTAAGCAGCTCACACCCATCTTCCTCAACCTTGAATCTTCTCTTCTTCTCAGCAGACTGCTGGCATAATTCTGTTTATGATCAGCTTTGGAGACCAACCAATTTCCTGACAGATTCAGACTAAATCTCCAATCTTTCAATGTTTTAGAATTAGGTTAAAAATAAAGGAATAAGTTGTGTCTGCTCTACTTGGTGTTTTGTTGAGATCATGAACAACTTCTATTCTGCTATTTTGGCTCGTCATGATGTCAGTCCTCAAGATTTGGATCAATAGGAGCTCTGATTGTGTTATGCTCATCTCCTGAAACCTATTAGAGGCTTTTTATTGACTCCTGGTGAAACATCCTCCCCCAAAATTGGCTCCTCACAGCAGCAAGCAATGCTCCCGGAAACAGGAAGCATCTTTTTTTTATGCAATAATCTTCCAAAAACTATCTCGCGGGTTTCTTTATACAGTGTTGAAAGTCTGCAAGATTATGGAATTAGATTTCTGTATTTCTCAGAGTGTTATAAAAAGAAATGCCAGAAAGAAAAGTCTTAAATTATCTGTGGTTTTATAGGAATCTTTTGTTTTGTAATATTTCTAAAAGAACATAAATGACTAGTAACTCTGTCACTGCACCTCTATCACTGCTGCATGTTAGAATTGGAAATGTTTTAATTGCTGTACTGAATGAAATTTCAATTAAATTTGTCTAAGTCTAAAGTCTAAGTCTACTAAGGTGAGTCTGGAAACCTCAGTAACCTTTAACAAACGTGTGTTGGAACCCTGAACCTGTGGTGGTTGATAGTCTAAACCAAGGCCCTGTGTCTGAGCAAAGTTTTTATTTGCAGTCTTCCAAAAGAGAGGAAATTCCCTTTACTTATGTTGCCATGTTGTCTTTCTCTAATCTCAAGTTTTTCTATGGTTGCCATCATTCATTATGCTGCCTTAACATACCCTCCAAACGGTTTTCACTGGATTTCTTTCAATGCAAACAAAACCTTCAGAAAAATCCAGTAATTTTATAGTGTATTAAGCTCTAAGCAAACTTGAATTAAATAATTGATCCCTTTGCTTTCTTTGCGATTCTTACTCTATATATTTAAAAGCATTTGTAGTTAATAAATAAGGCCCTTTTGTGTGATAAGTCACAACTTCCTCAGCTTTTTCTCCTTGGTCTGGATAGTTTTTGGGCATTCAATTTTAACTCTTAAAGTTCCCAGGATTTTCAGTTGAAAATGCCTAAAAAGGCCTCTCCAAATTCAAACTTTTATAGGTCTTGAGTCATATGGAGTATAAATAAAGTTCTGGGCTCTATGTAAAGAATACACTCTCTAGTTTACACCTGTGCTTTCTGATTTACTGTAAGTGCACTGCTGTGTATGTGGTATGCTTTATAAAACAGCTCTGAATATAAAAAAAAACTATTCTAGCCTGGATTTTCTATGTGAAAATAATTTAGAATTGTACTCTAGCAGGCGAGGAAAGAATCATTTAATAGAAACATTGTCTTATATCCTGGCAAGCATCCTTCCAAATGAGATTGGACTATCTGCAAAAACGGTATTTCTAGAAGTGCTCATCTAGGACTAAGCCATTCCACCACTTTTGCATACTTCAACATTGAAACATCAATGACACTTCTTTGGAAAGATAACTTTCCAAAGAAAAATATTTAGTGAAATATTTAGATATTATATATAATAAATATTTTATATTAAATATATATTTAAAATCTGAATATATAACATGAGGTGAGTCATCTAGCAGTAAGCTATCTTTTAAATTTAGGCTCCACCCACATATAAAAATATATATATAATCCATATATTGTCGTAAACAGCTATTCATTGGCAATACATTAATATCACTCATGTGAAGGTGAGTTTTTACTGGTTGAAAGGTTGGACAAGGAAGTTAACTGTAACCATGATTGACGCCCAATGGGTTTCTGCTGTCCTAGCCTGCCCCCATCGTCCTGTAACTGGTCAAACATTCAAGCCAGGACTTGCTGTTTGAACTGGTGGTAGCATGGAATGCATTGTTTTTAGCAACTTTTAGCTGGAAATTTTTTTTTTAAATATAACAAAATGTGGTGGTGTTTTTCCCTGAAGATGAGAATTATCCTGCAGTATTATCTTTTTTCTGGCTGTTTGGAGCAGAAAGAGGAGGGAAATATTGGAGCTTTCTTGAACTTTTTGAGTTTTGTGTATCTTTTACTTTTTTCTCGATAAAACAGCTGCTGCTTTTGTCGAGGTTCAGCATGTGTGGTATCATTGAAAGAGGAGAACGAAAGCTTTCTGTACAAATGTGGACATGCTGAAATACTCATTGAAATACTCATAGGTACATGCACTGAAAGTTGAAAAGCTGTTCTTGGGTCACGGGCGGGTTGTTTGGAACTCAAGGAACTTTAAGGTAGCCTGAATTCAGAGTGAATCTCTGGATGGACAGAATAGGGATAGAGGAGCATTTTGAAGAACAGGAGGGCGTTGTTAGAAGAATGTCTGTCACTGATCTCTCTCTTTGTTGTTTTGCTATTTGGAGATTTTTGAGACCAGACTTCTTCATGCACAGCAGAAAGCCTTCCTCCCTTGGATGTTAACCACACATCATGTTGATGGACCTTAATAGTTTGGTTCCATAGAGTCATGCCCACAAAATCGTATTAATTAACTGAAATATTAAAAATTTCTATGGGCTTTGTTTGATTAAGTATATAACCTGTTCAGTCGAAAATCAGTCGATAAAATCAATATTTTCTATTTTTTGTTTTGCCCATCACCAGTAGCTTATATATTTATTACATTTTACTTTCTGTCCAACAAATCTTTGGAGGATCATGTGTTTTACCTAGAGCCAAAGGAAAAATTGATACTCCACAAAAATCATGTACTGTATAATTGGGATGTATTTTTCCCCCCTTAGTACCTTTATTGTTTAAACTCCACATGTTATAATGCAATCATCCATACTGTTGGATTATTAACAGCACTTCAATTAAGTGCTGGTATCCATCCAGCTTCCAACAATGCTTGGCAGAAGAGGCTGCATGCAGTGGGGATGCTGCTTTAAGATGATGGTCTTTATGAGGTCAGCTGAGTGTCGGGTATCAAGAAAGCAAAGAAGACGCATCGGGATGTGAGCTTGAGGCAGCTGCATGAAGCACCAGTTTGGATTTAAAAGATTTTAAAGTTTTAAGTGGGTTTTTTTCCTGATTAATTTTGCTCCTTTTTCATCTAAAAGATTATGCCACTCATTGTTATCAAACATTGGATATAATTCTCCTAAAAATGTGATTCCGCATAAAGCCTGACAGGGACAGCAGTACTCTGTTTACATCTACATGGAAAGCAGATCCTCTGGTTTAACCTGCTGGAAACCCTCCTCCATCCTGGCACACCCTGCTGTGTATATGTGAGCACCAAAGCTCCTCAGGCCCATATCAGAGAGTCAGCTTCATGGATACTGAGGCATTGCAATTTGTTCCTGATGCAGCAGCTTCAGTGCAGGTTTTTACACTTCCAACAGATGAGATTTAGTTGCTGACCTTGTCGATATATGGCAGCAATATCCAACTGCAGTTTCTCCTGACTTCTTACAGGCCAGTTTAAGTAATTTTTTACTTCATAAAAACATATTTGTCAGACTTTGTGATATCAGCAAACATGGCAGTAGAATAAACAATGTATTGCATGGCCTGTTTTTTTTTTATCTCTTATGATCTCAAGCTCAAAGGATAACGTTTCTTTGATCTACATCTGTTTCTCTTTTATCTATATATATAGATATATATCTATATATAGATATAGATATCCCCTAATGCTGGCATCTCTGCAATTCAGATATTGACTTTCGTGCATTATCAGTTACACTGTGATATTTATTGTAACCAAAGACTGGTTTTAGCATCACTCCTTGCATCTGCATCAATCCAGCCTTCCAAGCGAGGTCTCATGCAGGAAGGTATCGAACTGTTCCTCCAACAGCAGTCTATGGAGAATATCCCTCAGCGATTACTCATGTTTTCCTGCGACTCTGAATATTTGGAATCAATAACACACCAGTGAAGTCTTTTCTCAGAGAGGATTTGTCTAGGTTAAATTTAACCTTGGATAAAAGTGGTCTGTTCTACATTAAAAAAGGATGATTAGGTTATATATTTGCAAACTGGATTATTCTTTGAGAAGTAGCATGTTTGTCCTCAAAGTCCCTTTAAGAATTGTATTAATGGTCAATATTCTTGTTATGGCAGCAACAATGATGCCTGTTTTCTGTTCTGCAGGGAAGCAATGTAATGGAGGACCAAGACTTGAGAGAGATTGGAATCACAGATCCAAGCCACAGAAAAAAGATCCTGCATGCAGCACGCTCCTTTCCTAAGGTGACCAAGCACTAAAATTTGTTCTCAGAATTTTACCTTACTCTTCTTTTTTGGATCTGTTTTCTATTATTTCTAATATATTTTTAGCCAAATGATAAAAAGATTCTGGTGCATTTAAAGCTCCCCTGGTAGATTTTCTGTGGAAGTTGCTGGCCTGTATTTCACTAATGCAAAACCAAACAGATAATAAAATAAAAAGGGGAAACCCTAATCATTCAATACATTAAGAAAAAGAAACTTGAGATGCAATAATAGTTTTCCAGTCCAATAATCCCTTAAGGTATGTCTGATATACTGTCTTATGAGTATGTACAGTATGCTCCACAGATTTTAACTAGTGACTTTAACTCACCATTGAAAATGTATCTGTTTTCTCCAAGATGTTAAATTATTTTACTGCACACAAGTCCAGTTAGAACCTGGGTGTTCATTTGTTTTAGTTATATTTGTATTTTTAAGTACTATTCCTGCTAGTTATACTAATACAGTGACATCAGTTGCTACTTGAAAAGTAACTTGTGACATCAATTAATATTTTTAATGATTAATCTCTACTTGAGCCTGGTGGCATAACCACCGTCCTGAAAAGCCCAAAGCATCTGTGACCCCCAGGTTTTCCCTCCACAGGTAAAAGCCCTGGGATGTGATGGCAGCAGCTCTCTGTCCGCCTGGCTGGAGAACCTGGGTCTGCATGAGTACCTACCCAACTTCCTGTCCAGCGGCTGCCGTAGCCTTGACTGCGTGAAAAACCTTTGGGAGCTGGAAATCGTCAATGTGAGTCGCACTGTGTCACATGTGGATTGTGCAAAGTATCAGACGGTGAAATTAGTTTCTAAGCATGTCACCTAAAAGTCAGTTTGATAGTTGAAATTCTGAAGGTGAAAGCTCTGATATGGGGAGTACATTTTCAGTACATTATTTCTGCAAACTGACAGAAAGAAGTTGTTTTTTTGGGCCGTTGGATCTACATCCATCTCAACCACCGTCAGAGAGAAACACTTGTCTCATTTTATTGTCATTTCTGTTAATATTTTTGCAAATACACCCCCGACCATGTCAAGAACCGTAAAGAAACAAAATAATTACTGCTTGGTTGGTTCTAAAAATAACATTTTAAATGACGGAGGAGTTTTCATTAATATTTAAACTTTTCTTCTCTGTTTTGCTTTTTCTTCATTCAATAATACCGCACTTTGTTTTCTCCACAGGTGCTTAAGATTTCTTTGCTCGGTCACAGGAAACGCATCATAGCATCGTTAGCTGAAAGGCCTTATGAGGAGCCTCCTGTCAAACCCCCTCGGTTGTCTCAAATCAGGGTAAGAACAACCTTCTAAACTATGAGGTCTGATCTGTATACGTGTCTTCTTCACTCTCCTTTAATCTAAAGACATGTTAAAAGACATGTGGTATATAAAATGCCCTAAAACTATGAAACCTTTTATTGCATTAGGATAAACTTGCACTAAACATTGTGGAAAAACCCAACCCTTTATATATCACTGGGAGCAAATACCATGTTCAGAAATAAATGTTTACAAATATAATGAATTCCTATTCAGGCGTTGCCAAGAGTCTGTTTAAAATCATGTTTTTTCAAGTACTGTATTTTCTTTATTTGAGTTAAGTATCTTGAAGCTTTTGGGAAGTTATCCATGACTTCTTCTTTTGGAGTTATATAATTAAGAAATGGAGAGCCATTTCTCTTTGGTACTGCAAAACAACATGAATTTATGTCGCCACATGCAGTAGTCTTCAACAACCATTAAACATAATCAAAACACCAACCAGATGTTGGAGTTTTTGCTCTAACTCTGCCAGGTCTTAACTAGGATTGGTTCAGATGAGAAATACGTTTTCTGCAATAAATACTGAGATGTAGCAAGTAGGGAGATTACAATGGGTTGTGCAATTAAATGCTGTTGTAATTTATCATATTTAATCAAATAACTGTGAATCGTGGTCAAAAAGCACATATATGGAACAACAATGTACATTCAAAATATTAGAATTTATTAACAAAAGTCATTAAACTAAAAGCCAAACATATTTTAGTTCAAAATGTCTTGACTAAACTAGTGAAACTAAGCTTAAATAAGATACTATGTACGGTACACATGGAGAAGAAATAAGAGTGTATAAAACCATAGTTAATAAAATAATACAACAATATCACAGATTTTATGTTTGAGGACCACAGTTTATCTTGACGGGTTTTGAATTAGATCCAGCTTTTAAACTGATTTACAATAATTGGAATGTGTTGCAAAAAAATTCAAAATGCAAATCCAAGATGTAAATAAATCATTATTTGGTAAAATAATGTTTGCTGGATCTTTAGCCTATATAAGAAATCAATAACCAATTAGGTAATTAATTTAAAGCCTTTTGTTATTGTTCCTGAGGGAATATTTAAGCGTGAGGACAGCCTAGCTTCATTAGCAAGGTTTAGTTTTGGACACGGAGGCACTTGTTTTAAAAAAAACTCTTTGGTCATATTTTAATAATCAAATGTAATGAGCATATCAAGGAAACACAGAAACGTTAATGTTATATTACTGTTATAATGAGGCTTGTTTTATATTTTTTTGACAAACTTAAACAGAAATTCTTCACAAGAGCAAAAATGAACCTTTTAGGTTTTTCCCCAGATCAAGATCCAGCAGGAGAAATGTACGGTCAGCTGAATAGAAAACTTCAGCTAAATCCTCTTCAAATAAAGAGGATTTAAGACTGTGAAGCACGCAGGGAGTCTAGTATTTCTCCATTGACTTTTTTTTACACCCAAATTAAAGTCTGGGTGTTAATTAATGTATTTTTTTAAGTGAGATCATGCCACACAGCTATGAAAATACCCACATTTTAAAAACTTCTACCTAGATTTACAAGGGTGCACACAAATTTTTGTGTGTTTGTATACTAAGTAATAAAAGTCATTATCAGAATCAGATGCAGATATATTGCCAAGTAGGTTTGCCCTTACAAGGAATTTGAATTGCTGTTGATGGTGCAGATAAATTCGATATATGTACAGAATCTGTAGCTATATACAATATATAAAATACAATATTCTATTTTCATTATATAGTAAATAGCCATATACTATATACACACAGTAGACTGTGCGTTTATATATAGCAGGACGCCTGGCCACCTTCTCTGCAGACCGGATGACACGCTGGAGTCGCGTCTCTAACTCTTCAGCTAACGGAAGAACTGTGTCTAACGTCTGTCTGCAGTGTCAGGAACTGCCAGGATCCCAGAACTCATCCCCTCTCAGTCTGATGGAGCCCTACGCCGGCCGCTCAATGGACCCTCTGCTGCCTGCAGCAGATTCAGGCAGAAAAACAGCAGCAGAATCAGATTATGATTTGGCCCAAAGATATCAAAGCGGAAGACAGAAGCCTCAGGTAAAAGCTTAAATCTCTTTCATGTAGTGACTATAGTAACCATATTTTATGCTTCTTTGATGATCCGTTTCTTTGTCCTTCCAGGAGCGATACGAAGAGATTCATCAAGAGCCTCGGCTGACCTTGCGACCACCGAGTCTAACCGCGTATGCCCCCGTCCAGAACTGGCACCACCAGCCGGAGAAACTCATATTTGAATTCTGCGCCTATGAAGCTAGTGTACGCTGAAGACTTTCTCATTATTTCTCAGCTTCTGCTTTTGATTCATATAGCCAATAATCTGTTATCACCTGTTTATTTGCAGTATCTGGGTTCTATGCAAATCAAAGATCTGAGGGGTATCGAATCAACGCAGGATGCTTGTGCCAAAATAAGGGTAAGTTTTACTCCTCTTCAGCAGCAGAGGATGCAAGAGAGGGCATACATGCTGCAACTAATAGCTCATCTTGCTGTGTTTATTCTGCAGAGGTCCACAGAACAAATGAGAAAGGTCCCAACCATTGTTCTGTCAATCACCTACAAGGGTGTGAAGTTCATAGATGCAGCGAACAAGGTAACTGTTCATACTCACCAGCTGAGACCTTTCACATCTCCTTCTGGTTTAATTTCATTCATGCATATTAGACTGTGATGATCAGCTCCATGTTTAGATTAACTGCAACCCTTAATAGCTCGTTTATGTTCCTTGTTGTAGAATATAATCGCAGAGCATGAGATCCGTAACATATCATGTGCAGCCCAGGATCCAGAGGACCTGTGTACGTTTGCCTACATCACTAAAGACCTGCAGACCAGCCACCATTACTGCCATGTCTTCAGCACAATAGATGTGGTACGTAAAAACACTGATTAAAGAATCGCTTTGTTTTTAAAGAGTGATGTATTGGAGCAATTTTTATATTGAAAAAGCAGAACTAAAATCATGACATTGCTTCCTGTATGACCTTATCAGCTTTTTTCTCCCTTTGAAATAAGTTGGCAGTGGGGAAAATTAATCAAACTTGAGGCTGAAATAAATCTGATGCATAAAACCAGGTCTAACTTTGTTACCGCACATCTTTCCTTTTTACATCCCAATTTGCGGAAAATCAAACTCAGTCTTGGCTCAGTTATAAATGAATGGCTGGTTTACACAAAGTTTGTATAAAGTCCAAAAGATGCTGCTTAGTTGCTTAGTTCAGCTCAATTATTGCTGAATGCTGATTGTAATATTTAACAAATCATTATGTTATGATTTGTTATGTTTCTCTTATTAGCTCCATCACCATACAAACAAATGAAGGCTATAATTAATGTTCAAAATGATTCAGAATTTGCCAAAAATCAAATAGATGAAAATACATAGAAGGCACCCCTTGTTCACAGGAGCTGCACTATCAAATAAAATGGTTACAATTATTATATTAGAAACAAAGGAACCCTGAGTTGAGCGACTAACCACTACTTTAGTGAGGCACATTTGCACATGTCGATCCCTGCACTGCTTTGTAATTGAAATGCTTTCCATTCATAAAGCCAAACAACAGCACATTTAAAGATCATGCTTTAGTCAAATTCTGATTCCTTTAATTCTATTTCATCCCTACTGACCGCCAGAGGCGGTGCTTCAAGCACTGAATGATCATTCATGCGCATGCGCAGGTCGAGTATTAATGACAACAAAGTCAGCTGTGACCTGCCGGGGACCCACGTGACTCTATATAGTCACGTGGCACCCGGCAATCAATCCCTTTTGTTCTTCTCGCGCGCAGGTGTGTTGAGTACAGGAGTGTGGTCGTGTGAAGCTTGTTGCTTCTGTGTATACCACTAGTTTCCTGGCTGCTTGTTGCTGGTAGCCCCGTGACCGGGTTTGGTCGGAGCTGCGGGTAAGTCTCGCCCTCCAGGGGCTGCACAAGCTGCTTTCACCTTACCAGATCTGCAGTGACTGGTAAGTTTTCGTTCTTTTCTCAGCAGTAGTTTACTGTTCGCTTTGATTTGCCACGTTAATTTTGTGGCTCTTTTGACTCACGGTAGCGTTTCTGCTCGCGCTGAGTTGTTTTCAGTTTGTTTGCCTAAGCCCACCAGTAGCGTTTCTGCTCGCGTTGGGTTCTTCTATAGTTTGTTTATCTACACTCACCAGTGGCGTTTCGGCTCGCGCTGAGTTGTTTTCAGTTTGTTTGCCTAAGCCCACCAGTAGCGTTTATGCTCGCGTTGGGTTCTTCTATAGTTTGTTTATCTACACTCACCAGTGGCGTTTCGGCTCGCGCTGAGTTGTTTTCAGTTTGTTTGCCTAAGCCCACCAGTAGCGTTTCTGCTCGCGTTGGGTTCTTCTATAGTTTATCTACACTCACCAGTGGCGTTTCTGCTCGCGCTGAGTTGTTTTCAGTTTGTTTGCCTAAGCCCACCAGTGGCGTTTCTGCTCGCGTTGGGTTCTTCTATAGTTTGTTTGCCTAGACTCACCAGTGGCGTCTCTGCTCGTGCTGAGTTCATCTTTGGTTAATAATCGAGTCGCCAGTAGCGTTTCCTGCTCGTGTTGACTTGTCCTTGGTAGCGGGCTGATCACGCCTTTCAGCAGTATGATGCTGGATAATTTATGTTGCTCGACCTGTCTGGCTCCACTTCAGCCCGACGACGGGCATGACTTGTGTCCCTCCTGCCTCGGTGTGGAACATCTCCGGGAGGCGCTGTCAGATGACGCTTGCCCCAACTGTCGCGTCATGCCCCGGTCGGTCAGACTGGATCGGTTGGCTGCACTGGAGCAGCCTACCGACTGGGCGGGCGCTTCGCCGCGTGCTCGTTTGCCGATGGAGAAAGCGGTGTGCAAACGCTCTACTGTGGCTGCACCTTCGGTACCGACGAAGCGTGCTAGACGGACCGACGCAGGGAGGTTGTCCACCAGAGTGGATCATCTCACTACTGAGCTGGCCCAAATGAAAGCCCTCCTCCAGTCCTTTCAGACTGCTGGTGATCGTGGCACGGCTCTCCCTACCGAGCAGGATGAAACGTCAGTCAATGACGACGATGCGGTTTCTGTGGCGGCCTCTGGCACCCATTTCTGTGAGGACCTTCCGGAGCTGGGCTCCGGGGCCTCCGGGTCGGACTCCATTGCCTCCCAGGAGGATGCGGGGGAGTCTGTGACATCCGCTATTCGAACGGCTCTTGCCCGTTTACAGATTAGTGTTCCTCAGGCCCAGCCTGCGGCTTCCAGCGCCTTCTTTAGGCGCAGTAGGTCAGAGACTGCCTTTGTGGTTCCTCCCTCGGCGGAGTATGTGCGGGAACTGCATGCTTGCTGGTCGAACACCAAGGCGTTTTCACGTCTGACGACGGATGGCAGGGTCCTGGCAGCTATGCAGGAGGCACCCAAGGTTGGCTTGGGGCAGATGCCAGCGGTGGAACCGGGCATTGCCTCTCTTATAATCCCGCCTGATGAGGCCTTGCGGCCCAATGCCCGTTGTCCGCGTCCTCAGTGCCGTATTACCGACGACCTTCTCTGTAAGGCCTATGACTCTGGGGCCCGCATGGGCCGGATTGGGAACTCTCTCTCCCATCTTATGCTGGCCCTGTCTTCCTCCTTGGAATCTGTTCCGCTGGATCATGCCACGCAAGGCCTGGTTGATGCATCTCTGCAGGCCTTTGCTCTTATGACGAGGGAACTTGGACGCACACTCTCCACACTGGTTCATGCTCGCCGCCAGGTCTGGTTGGCGCAGTCACCACTAACTGAGCCTTGTAGGAGGACCCTCCGGGCCCTGCCTGTGGTCCCGGGGGAGCTTTTTGGTTCTGCGGCACTGGACGCCTTGGACCGTACGGCTCAGGCCTCTAGAATGAGGCAACAGCTGGCAGGGCTTCACAGACGTGATCGCCAGCCAGTAAGCACCTGGGCAGCTGCGGGTCCTTCACGGAGGTCCTTAGTGCCTTCTCCTTCTCCCACTGAGCCCCAGGGTCTGTTACCAGGTCAGAGATCGGTCCAGAGACCTGCTCTAGATCGGAGGAACAGAGCTCGAGACCAGGCTGGGTCGAGGTCCTTTCATCCCTTTCGAGCCGCGCAGTCTGGCCGGCGTCCTCCCGGGCCTTCGAAGGGCCGGGGGATCCGCAGATGATGCCTTAGGGCCGGCGGTCGGTTATTTTTCCCCGGGACAGCTCAGCTTCTGGGCTGCCCACACCCCGGACTTGTGGGTGTTGTCCACCCTGTCCCGGGGGTACCGTCTTCAATTCCGCCGCCGGCCACCTATCCCTGGCCGGGTCAGGATGACTGTGATCCACGACCCGGTGAAGGCACAGGCACTGAACCAAGAAATCTGCACCTTGCTGGCCAAGGGTGCTATAGTGCCTGTGGACCCCCTGCTGGATCCAGGGGGCTTTTATTCCACGTATTTTCTGGTTCCGAAGAAGACCGGGGGCCTGCGTCCAGTCTTGGACCTCAGGGGCCTGAACGTGTACTTGAAGGCCATGCCCTTTCATATGCTGACCACCAGGGAAGTGTTGCAGGCGATTTCCCCGGGCGATTGGTTCACTTCCATAGATCTCAGGGATGCTTATTTTCACGTTCCGATCGCTCCGCCCCATTGGCGGTTTCTTCGTTTTGCTTTTCAAGGGAGACATTTCCAGTTCAGGGTCCTCCCGTTCGGACTTTCACTGTCCCCCAGGGTGTTCACCCGATGTGTTGCAGCGGCTCTCTCTCCTCTGCAGGCACAGGGATTGAGGATCCTCCCATATCTGGACGACTGGCTCATTTGTGCTGCGACGTGGGACCAGGCGGTTCGAGATACTCGGTTAGTGCTCCATCATGTGGGATGCTTGGGCTTGCAGGTGAACATGGAGAAAAGCAATCTGACTCCCTCACAGGAGACTGTCTTCCTGGGCGTTGCCATGGATTCCATCTCAATGACTGCTTGCCCGTCACCCCAGCGGGTGGACAGTATATTGAGCGTGCTCCCGGAATTCAGGCGCGGCATGGCGCTGCCTCTTGTGCGGTATCTTCGACTCTTGGGCATGCTTACAGCTGCGTCCGCCGTAGTGCCCTTGGGGCTGCTGTCATTGCGGCCCCTCCAGATGTGGTTGAACAGCTTGAATCTGGATCCCACACGGAACACCCATCGTCTCCGAAGACTTCGGGTGGGGCCTCAGTGTCTCCAGTCTCTGTCCCAATGGAGGGTGAGGTTGTTTATGACCACAGGGGTCCCGCTCGGTTCCCTCCCGTGTCGTCGGGAAGTTGTGTTTACAGATGCATCCTCCACGGGCTGGGGTGCAACCTGGCGGGGTCAAATGGCACAGGGGACATGGTCCCAGCGGCAGGGCAGGGAACACATCAATGTCCTGGAGTTACAGGCTGTACTTCTGGCTCTTCAGAGCTTTCTTCCAGGCTTGCGGGGGAAGCACGTGCTGGTGAGGTCAGACAACACCGCAGTGGTCTTTCACATCAACCACCAGGGGGGAACGAGGTCAAGGAAACTGTTGTGCTTGACTCGACGGCTTCTGACCTGGGCAGCTCCACGCATAGCCAGCCTCAGAGCAGCCTACATCCCAGGGCCGGAGAACGTGCCAGCAGATTTTCTATCCCGTCAGAAGCCGCTTCCAGGGGAGTGGAAGCTTCACCAAGAGGTGGTGGAGCGCATCTGGAAGGTCTTTGGCAGGGCGGACGTGGACCTCTTTGCCTCAAGGGACGCATTTCACTGTCCCCTTTGGTTCTCGTTGGACACCAGCAGCCCTCTGGGCCACGATGCTCTGGCACACGACTGGCCCCGGACCCTCCTTTATGCCTTTCCGCCATTCAGCCTACTTTTTCAGACTCTCCTCAGGGTACGTCAGGAGGGGCACAGGGTCCTGCTGGTGGCCCCCTACTGGCCAGCGAGGACTTGGTTTCCTCTACTGTGCGAGCTCAGCTCCGGCTCGCCAATGCGTCTCCCCTCCAGGAGAGATCTTCTTTCCCAGATGGGGGGTCAGATCTTGCACCCCGAACCGGACCGGCTCCAGCTCTGGATTTGGCCCCTGCAAGGCCAGGGTCCACCTTCTCAAGATACACTGGGTCCATAGGGCATACAATGGCTAATGCATGGGCGCCGTCCACGCGAGCTGTCTATGCTAACAAGTGGACGGTCTTTGCCACCTGGTGCCGTGATAGAGGGCAGGACCCGGTGCAGTGTTCAGTTTCTGACATACTGACCTTCCTGCAGGCATTGCTGGATCAAGGACGGTCTCCATCTACCTTAAAGGTGTATGTGGCTGCCATTTCCTGTTGGCATGTTGGGCTGAATGGCTGTTCTGTGGGCCGAGACAAGGATGTTGTACTGTTTTTAAGAGGTGCTCGGCGTTTGCACCCACCCAACCGCCCTGTGGCACCGGCGTGGGACCTTTCTCTTGTGCTTGAGGCTCTTCGGTCCCTCCCATTTGAGCCCCTGGCGTCGGCGGACCTCAAATGGCTCTCACTGAAGACTGCGTTTCTTTTAGCTATGGTTTCCGCAAAACGTGTAGGGGAGTTACAGGCTCTCTCGATAGCCGAACCCTGCTGCCGGTGGAATCCTGATGGCTCAGGCGTTACACTGTGGGCTGACGTAGCGTTTATTCCTAAGGTATCACTGCCAGCAGGCAGCACCCAGCCTCTCCATCTTGCCCGGTTTGACTCCGGAAGTCCCTCTGAACCACTGTGTCCTGTTCGTGCCCTTGAGACATACATCAATGCCACGGCATCCTTCCGAAAGACGAATAGCCTTTTTGTTTGCTACGCTGGCTCACGGAAGGGTCAGGCACTTTCTAAGCAGCGACTTGCACACTGGGTTGTGGATTTGATCTCCAAGGCTTATGCCTTGCAGGACCGGGCACTGCCGGCGGGAGTGAAATGCCACTCTACAAGGGGCATGTCGACATCGTTTGCTGCTATGACTGGGGTGCCATTGGATGTTATATGCCGTGCGGCCTCCTGGAAATCACCTAGTACCTTTACTCGGTTCTACAGGGTGAATGTGGCTGCGCCCCATCCGCTTCAGGGAATCCTCGAGCAGCATGCCTCTACATCACATTAGGTGGGTGGTGTAGTCGTTGTTCCTTGAATGTTGCTGATTCCTCGTGACCTTGTTGATATGAGTCATCCAGTGCTTGAAGCACCGCCTCTGGCGGTCAGTAGGGATGAAATAGAACGAAAGTTACTGCCGTAACTACGGTTCTATGAATCCCGGATGACCGCCAGAGTGCTTGGTCCCTCGGAATCTCTGCTTTCGCGAGAAGATTGAGGGATTGATTGCCGGGTGCCACGTGACTATATAGAGTCACGTGGGTCCCCGGCAGGTCACAGCTGACTTTGTTGTCATTAATACTCGACCTGCGCATGCGCATGAATGATCATTCAGTGCTTGAAGCACCGCCTCTGGCGGTCATCCGGGATTCATAGAACCGTAGTTACGGCAGTAACTTTCGTTATCAACTCATTGATGTATGTGTATATATAAAGTAATTTTCAGGGAGTTTTATAAATGTGAGAACATACTCAGGGTGACTAACAGTTAAATACCCAACCTGTCCATCCAGCGTTTCATTGTCATTGTCACAATTACAGAGCAATGAAATTAACTCTCTGTATTTAACCCCTTGGGGAGCAGTGGGCTGCCGCTGTGCAGCACCCGGGGAGCAGTGTGGGGTTAAGGGTCTTGCTCAGGGACCCAGAGTGGCAGTCCGTGGGAGTGGGGCTTGGACGTAGAACCTAAGGATTCCAAGCGCAACGCCCAAAGCAGGCATTAGCGTGAAGGGTCTTGCCTATGGCTAATTCCCCCCAGCTGGGATACACACCCAGGCTTCCTGTTTGCAGGACGGATCAATCAGCAGCTTTCTAAACTAAAAAATCTGCACGGCTTTACGCAGCTTTTTACGGACATGTGATTGTATACACCTTGTCCACCTGTTTACTCTGCATATTAACCAACAATGTATTGCTGTTTTTTTTTTCTTTTAGCTTGTTGTTGCTGTGGATTTAAAACGTTCTCGCGTCAGGTCAAAAGTTTGCGTGCATTGCCATACATGTTTACACCACATTTTTTTTATACATCCAGAGCCTTAAGTTAAACATTGAAGCACAGTTTGAACACAGACACACTTTATTCATGAGGCCACTGAGAAACTGTCATAAAAACCATGATTTTCCACACGTGATCTCCTTTGTTCCTGAGTTAATTAGGATGTTTTGATTTGGGACATTGAACAGTTGTTTACCCTTCTGGTTCAATGGAAGAAGCTTTACAGGTCAGGGTTCATCTCTGCTGAATGAATACTGACTTTGTGGAAACGTTTGTGTTTTATTCACTTCAGCTTTGACCTGTTTCAGACTACAATATTTTATGACACCCTGATGGGAAACTAACCAAGATGTAATAAAATGAGAGGAGACTTCCTGGTCACTTAGCCTATGTTTATTGGAATTTTCAATTTGTAATTTTATCCAAGCTTTCTGTAGATGTCTTTTTAAATCCTAATTTGGTTGCTATAAAAATGTATCTAGAAGTAAAACCATGAAACTACTTGTTTACTTTGAGCTTTAAATGTTACTGCTGTTAGCTGCATATTGTATTACGGTTCCATTTGTAATTCTGTTTTTTATTTAAACAGCTGATACCAACTCTTGTATTCTTACATTGTTTTGCTCAGGTTTAGCTGATGAGTGTACGATGAGCAGATCATGTGAGATTCATTAAACAGAAGAATGATGATGAAAGAAAATGTATTTTAATATGTATATTTTAAAGTGTGGAGCTGTAAAGCATTGTCCCCTCTCTGTTATCTCAGTTTAACCTTGATGCCAAATTTTTCAACATATGCCATTATGCAAGATTGCACATGAAGACATTGCACAGATGTGTTCGAGTCAAGACTCTCTAAAACATAAACTGACTTTTTTTATTTGCTCTCTGTGCTCAGAGCCTGACCTATGAGATTATCCTGACACTGGGCCAGGCATTTGAGGTGGCCTATCAGCTGGCACTGCAGGCCCAGAGGACCAAACAACAACAGGGCCTCCCGGCGGGAAGCAGCTCAGACGGCAATGAAACCAAGTCCAGTCGACCTGTACCCAAACCAAGGGGGAGTGTTCGGAAGTCGGGGGTGTGTAAGACATAAAACTCATCATGACTCAACACATTATTAATGTACACCCACTGAACAGGTGTTTTATCCTTTTAAAACATATCATTTATGATTACACACAGTTGTTTTTGCTAGTCATACACTCTGGGCAGATAAAAACAGCTTTATAAAAAAGAAGGTATCTCTTGCTCAAGCACCACCTACAGGTCTTTCTCTGCTATTGCTGCATCCTTCTTGTCCACTTTGTCTCACCTCCCCAGGTTTCTTTCTATTATATTAGCTGTGCTGCCCTCTAGTGAACAAGAAATATAAAGACAAACAAAGCTGATGGGAAATATATCTGTGGACAATAAACTGCATTCATGTCCACAACCCAAATGTTTTAAAGTCTGCTTAAAGCTACAGTGTGTAATAATTACAGGGATATACAGTCAGAAATGTAATATATTATACATAACTATGTTATTTATCATCATCTACGACCTCAGCCTCTTAACCTTAATATTTGCGTTACCTTAGAATTCGTTATTTATAATTACATAGGAGCGGGTCTCGCAGCCATGGAGGCAGACATCTTTGCGCTACGGCAGCGCAGAGCCAACAAACTAGCGATTGCGAGATCGCCAAAATGTCACAACGATGTAGAAAAAATAACGGGTATATTTATTATCTTAAGTCTACATGAAATCTATACCCTACACAGACTAATGAAATACTATCTGTAAAATTATCTATGTAAACAAACCTCATCACTTGAGAAGGTAGGTGATGTGGACGTCGTGGAAGACATCTTGTCCCGTAACGCTCGCCGTACTGTTGGGGGGGAGAAGCGGTGGGGGGGAGATGTTCATGTTGCTGCGGTCTGCAGTCTGGACGTTAGATGTCGCTGAAAATTACACACTTAAGCTTTAATTAAATGGATGATCAGGATCATTTTGGGAGCTATTTTTTGTTTTTGTTTACGTATTAGTTACTATCACAAGTCATTTGTGGTCAATTTTGAAATAGTTTTACCAAAGATGGAATTTCAGAATCAGTTTTTTTGCCAGTATTGTGCATACAGACAAGGAATTAGGCGTTGGTTTCATTTTGCTCATAAAATCTAGCTTTCATGCCTTGAGAACCATGTTGGCATCTATCCTACATTAGTTTATTGTAGTAGGGTTGCATTATAAGCCCTTTACTGTTCTTTTATATATGAACCTTAATTCAGCATTTAGAAAACTTGAAATGAAATATAATTGTTTTGCAGGTTGCCTGTAGATTTATTTCCCTTTAAACTCAATGTTCAATTTCTCTTTGAATTTCATACAGAAACCAAGCAGTGGATTTCACACAGTGACCCTAAAACTGAAATTTTAGTTTTTGGAAATCCATTTGATGTTACTGCTTTGGGCAGCATGCCGAAAAAAACCTTGGTGTTGTTTTAGACAGCTCTTTTAAATTTGACAAGCAAATAAGCTCAGTTGTTGAAATTAAGCTTTTTCCAGTTGGATCTGCTTAATAAAGAGAAGCTCTATCTGCCTCATGCTTCTCTAGAACACTCTATTCATGCCTTCATGAACTACTGTAACTTTCTATTGTGGGCTCAGGCCTCCCTTCATCTCCTGTAGTTGGTTCAAAAAGCTGCAGATCTTAATGATCGAATTGGAACATTTAAAGATTTATTATCTTTAAATGTTCCAATTCGATCATTAAGATCTGCCAATCAAGTAACTCTGGCTGTCTTGAGATCACAGCTAATAACTAGAAGGGATCAAGCGTTTGCTGCAGCCGAGCTGAGACTGAAACAGTCTGTCCTTGAATATTAGAACAGCTTAATGTCTTTCTTAAAAAAAAAACAGCCTTGAACATCAGGTAAACAGCCTTGGGAAAGAAACTTTCTGTGGTGACTGGTTTTCGCTAATTGCACTGACTGGAGAGTACAAGTCCTGGATGTATCAAAGCTCAGCCCTGATCATCCTCTTGTTTTATGGCTTAAGCCACACATTGAAAGATGTGCAAACGACAGACAGGATGATTGCAATTTACATGATTAATTGAAGTTCTTGTTGAAGGCTGTACTTCTCAAACTCTTCGAGTGATGATGTCATGCAACTTGCAGATATCTTGTTCACATGTGACTGAAATATACTGAATATGAGCTCTGCATATGAAAGTTTCTCTAATGAAAGAGTTCTGAGACTTTTTGATGCGTCCCTTGCCTTAGACACATTAAAAACATGCAGAACTCTGATGCTTGAGAATTTATGTTTACATCCGCAATTGTACAGTATCAAGGTAGCCATCTTGAATGTTTTATTAAAATACATTTTCAGATTGCAATTTTCAATTTTGCAAATAAAAGTCATTATCCTAAACCCAGTCTAATTCTAAGATTGGTAAAGCGTTTGACTAGAGAACAATCCAGAGCCTTCGACTTTTTTCACCTGAGAATAATGTCGAAACTCACAGCCGTGTACAGAGTTAATGTATTTTAAAGGGATTTATTTGATGGACTAATGTAGAGTACAACTGTGAAGTTGTTAGAAACTAGTTTTGTTTGGATGCTGATATACACAGATCTAAAATGGTCCTGTTTTGTATGTATGCAAACAGAATCAGCTGCAAGATAAAGATTGAGATGATTTTTCTCTTTGTGTTTACAGGGGGATTTACTGGAGCAAGAGGGGGATTCACCGGCCAACAGCGGTGCCACATGGCTCGTGGATCCAAAGGAATCGAAACGCTCAATCAGCACTAAGTATGAGACCACCATATTCTGAGAGAGGCCCCCTCTGCTCCTCCTCCTCTTCCTCCTTCTCCTGGGTCTCGCTGTTACTACTTCCCTCCTTCTGTGTGCCTTTCACTGTGACTTAGCCCCTTTGTTTGGCTGGACACCCCCAGCCCCCACCACCACAAACCCCCTGACAGCCCAGTCCGTTACAGTTACTCACTGATCTCCATAGCTCCTTCTCCAAGTTGAGCCACCATTGCTTGTACGCCTTGCATTGATTGTTATTGCAGTCACTCTGCAAGTCTGCCACTAACACATACTGTCCTTTAACTCACTTCTTTCCTTTTTTCCCCCTCTAACTGCAACCATACTGTTTCCTCTCAGTGATGAGCTCTTTCTTTTCCGCTACATCAGGCGACGGCCACTCTGAAGCTTTTTCCTTCTGATCTTTCACCTCCTGACTTCTCAGAGTTCTGAGAAAAATCCGAGAGCCACCCGCTGCGCTCGCACCATACGCAGATGGATGTTTCCGGAAGAACACTGTGGATCTGCTCTTCTAATTCTATGCATCCATCAGGCTTTAGCAGACTAGCCGTTTAGTTGAATGCAAGTGTTTGGGAGTTGCGGGGAAGTTTCCTACTGTTTACTGCTTGCTTTTAGCTATCCGTGCTAAAGTCTTAAAGCACTGTGAGCAGCTTGTTTAGGGGGATTTTTTTTTATTTTAGGAAAGATTAAATCACATTGAAAATAAGTCCAAATTAAGGTGCCTTGCACATGTGTTGCTGCCTTTTGAGTTTTCTAATTTTTTCAGTGCGTTTGTCTTGTGAATCTAGAGTATCTGACAAAAAATGAGTGCACCCCTGATATTTTATTGTAATATTGTATTCTGTTTTCCTAGAACAATGCTGAAGATATGACACCTGGAAGTTACAATTATCAGCATATGGCTTTTATTTTAATGTAAGTTTGTGGTCCCCTTAAGAAAACTCGACCACAACCATTGTTTAAACCGCTAACACTAAAAGTTATTACACCCCTAAGCAAAAATGTCCAAATTGTGCCCACGACTGGCAGTATGCACCCCCAAACCATGACACTGCAACCATCAAACTTGGCTATAGTAGACAAAAAGGAAATTTTTATCTGCCACACATGCTTGACTTCACCCAAATCATAGAAATGTATCTGGATCTCATCAGACCTCAATAATTTGGTGGCCTTTGTCTTCTTTTCCTCATCAAACTCTGTGTGGGATTTCTGCGTATCTCTTCAGATCATCCACCATAGCATCAATATGCATCAATACTTTTGCAAGGTAGTGTATATTTGGACTTGCTTTGATTTGTGGAAATGGAGCAAAAGGGTGCAAACGGCGTGCTTTTCTACAGTGAGCTAACAACAACTAAGCACTTTTACTTAATTTTTGCGTAGAAACAAAACTGCCAAAGTGTCCAGCTTTCATTTTTTTCTTCTGTTTATGACAAATGCCTTCAATGTTTTTTCTGTCTGCATTGCCTTTTGGTAATATTGCCAACAACACCTTTTTGGTTTGTGCATCACTGCTGCTGGGGGAAAAAAAAGGGTTACCAATTACATAAATGGAGGGATGGTTTGTGTGTACATGTCTTTGCAGTTGTTTTTACTTCATTTTAACCCTCTTATTGTGTGCGTGTGTCTACTTGTCCTTTCCTTCCTCTAGCTGAACATTGCTGCTGCTCCCATTCATTGAGTTAGGACGGGATGAGCCTTGTTACGTAATTGGGATCATCGGGCTGTTTTTTTGTTTTTTTCCTTTTATTTTGTTTTTTGATTGAAAAGTGACCCCTGCAGCAGCTAATATAATCAGTTCAATCATGCTCGCAGCACACATCTGGACCCTGAGACAAAATGAGGTTCCATGCCATTTCACTCGCCACTTTTCATTTGACCTCTCTGCACACATCTTGCTGTCAGAGTATGACACAGTGTCTCTGTTCTCCGTGCATTTGCCTGTAAACGAGTGGCAGCCTCCCTCACAGAGACTTATTATTTGCTGTTTGAGTAAACTTACCTGCATTCTGCAACGCAGAAAACCTGTAGCTAAAGAGGAAGTTGCAGATAAGGAAGATAAGGACAGGATATTTTTTTATGCTTTTTTTTTTTAAGAGAGAGACCTCATGCTGTTGGCACAGACTCACTGTGTTTTCAAATATTGGAGCTTCTCTCCAAAACCATCTGCCTAATGTAATCGTGCATGGGAGAAACTTAAAACCAACACTACAAAGACCATCTCTCAGTAAAATCCCCCTTTATTTTATTTAGTTCTTATTCTGGCGGTTTTATTCATTTTATGGGACATCTTGTGTCCTAATGCTGAAACTGGATCAAGACCCTCTCCCTCTCCTTTTTTCTCTGTCCTTTTGCCCAGTTTAATCCAAACAAGGTTATTCACCATAACCTGCCATGCAGGCTGGTACGAATTTACTCTTTAAGCTAAAGAACAATAGGGTAAAGAACGTTTTCTCCAGGTAACTCCCAGTACCAAGACTGGTAATGGTACTGCTTAATGCATCAGATTGAGTTTGAGTACTTAACATTTTGATTTAACTGTTGTGGTACGTCATATGACAACACACTGGCACGCCCTGTTTAGCATGCCGGTACCGGCACCTTTCAGCCATTGGCCTGATCCAGTACTGCTTTTGCACATTGCCAAGGATCGGGAGACTTTTTGTGGAACTAATCGTATATGTTGAGAATGAAAATGTACATGATTTTAGAGCTGTCTGTATTTTGATACTTGAATGATTTTTGCTTTTATAGTTATCTATATATGTGTATGTATGTATGTATGTAAGTATATCATTTTGATGTTTTTGTCAAAACAAAGGACTATGTCTTATGAAATAAACATATCATGAATAAATGCCCTGTGATTTTAAAAACAGAAAAAAGGCTGAGGAAATGACTCAGAGGGACCTCAATTCATAAAAAAAGATTGTAAATAATCTTGGGCTTCCAGTCTTTTTTTATAGTTATTTTTCATAATTGTAAAACTAATAAATCTTGGGATTAGAATTACATGTGTTTCTGAATCGTTATTTTATTTTGTCTTATTTTTTTTGTTTTATATATTCTTAAGACATCTATAAACAAATTATACTATATATATACACATGTATGTGTATATATGTGTATATATATATATATATATATATATATATACATACATACACACACACACTATTCGATTTAAGATAGAAGTTGATACAGACTGTCTACATATGATAGGCCAGGGTAAATGCAGTCATGTGAGACCAAGGTAAGTAGCTTTTATGTTTTCTTTAACTGTACATCTTTTCAGAAAGAAAATATGTATATATTGTGGAAAAAGTGCAATATTTTTTGTCTTGGGGAAAACCTATATTTTATAGATTGATCACTTAGTGAAATAATTTAAATTTTTTTATTTATTGTAGATCACAGATAATGAAAATTTAACGAAAATGAAAAACGATTAGATAAATGATAGATAATATCACATAGATTAAAAAAGGAAACTTTAAACCAGTAAGTGTTTTGTAATCTTCATTTCATGACCTACACAAACGTAAAGAAGACTGCTGACTTGACTGCTCTAGAAAATGGTCAGGGTAAGGCACAAAAGATCATTTCTGTAAAAAGCATCATTTTCATGGAATAGAAAAAGGAAAAGGTTTGGTGGGACTGGATGCTCCAGCAGCAGGAATGACCACATCTCTGAGACGATTGTTAATTAAGGTCCATTTTAGAGTTTAGGAGATTTTCGTAAGGAGTGAATAGAGACTAATGTGGGAACGTCGAGTATAAGCACTGACTGGCTACGAGCATTGAATGGAAGGAGTTGTTGAGGACTATGGGCCCTTGTAACTCAAGGGCCCATAGTCTGGAGGGACAGGGCCCAAAAGATATGCAGCTTGAAGGCAAGTGTAAGGTTAGTAACCTTTTTTGCAGGCTACAATCAATTTCTCAATCTGTCAGAAAATTTAATAGGACTGGAATTGTTAATATTGTATTTCTGAATTTCAAGCAACTCCGAAATGTGATTTTCCTAAGAAATACTGTCTGATGGTCTCTCAAAACAGATCTGATCTCTTGATTAGTCAAGCCTTGTGGAAAAATAACCTCTGAAGAAAAGTATTTGCTATTTTCAACACAGCTAAATAAAGTTTTTAAAAGCTGCATATAAAAGGTAGCAGTTTGTGGATTTCAGGTTGCACACAGTTTATTTTAAAGATACATCATTAAAATTAAAACTCAGCAGGAGTTTAACATGGTTAAACACATGTTGATTCTGCAGGGACAGGATGAATTACCAATTTAACAGGTGGAGCTACTAACTGCTTGTATTATTACCTGTATTTTCATCCATCTTCCACTAATCCAGGGACGCTCCACAAGGGTAGCAGCCAACAAAAGGAGACGCAGACCTCTGTTTTCCCAGTCATCTGGGTCAGCTCCTCCAAGGGAACTTTCTCCCAGGTAAGCAGAGGAATGAAGTTCCTCCAGTGTGTCCTTGGTCTTCTTCTTAGTCTCCTCCCAGTGGGATGTGACTGGAACACCTCTCCAGGGAGACATTCTAACCAGATGCCTGAGGCTCCTTAACAGGCTCTTCTCTACATGGAGAAACAGTGGCTCTACTTAAAGTCCCTCCCTGATGGCAGAGCTTCTCATCCTATCTCTAAGGGAGAACCCAGACACCCTGTGGAGAAAACAAATTTTGGTCGCTTATATCTATGATTAGTGTTGCACCGATACCAGTATCGGACAGGGCCCCGTTACTGCTCTAGTGTCGGTAAGTACCGACAAATAGGGCACCGATACCATTTTGAAAGCAAAAAGTTTATTCAACTCTTGTCACCCATTTCAGGTAGGCAATACAAAGTTCTACTGGATTCATTTTGTATTAGTCTTTACCCTGCTTCTCAAGGGTAGGCAGCAGCTTGACAAAGCCATGATTACAATTATTTTACACCCAAGTAGTATGCAGTTCTTCATATATACACACACACACACCAATTGTAAACAGATGGTATCGGTATGGTATCGATATCAGGGCCAAAAAATGGCATCGGCGCAACAGTGTTCATGATGTCTTTATTTCAGTAAAAACCAGAACCTCATGAACATAAATGAGCATAAGAACGTAGATTGACCAGTAAATAGATAGCTTTGCCTGTTGACCTGGCTCTCTCTTTGCTGTGACAGACCAGTATAACACCCGCTGATGCAGCGCCAATCCAACTCTTGATTCCTGCACCATTTTTTTCCCCCATTCAGGATCAAAACCTCTAGAAACGTAAATTGTTTCCCCCAGGACAGGACATCTTCCCTGACCTGGAGAAGGTAGTCTACCATTTCTATTATGCAAGAGCTGTAGATTACGGCCTGAGAAGGCTACAGAAACAGGTCATTCACAAAAGGAAGACACCCAATTCCCGTCAACTACTTGGCTGGCCCTAAATATTCTGTCCATAAATATTAGGTACAGAATCGGTGACAAAGGGAAACTCTCACTGAAAAGGATTAAGACTTATTGCCCCTGAAATTGTCTCCAAAATAAAAAGTTAGTGTGCATCAGAGCCATTCAATCTATAACTGCTATTACAGTGGAACTAAAACTATCTACAAGGTTGTGAAGAGGTAGAGGTAGAACTGGTGATGGTGTTAAGAAGTACGCAAACGTTACAGATTGTCATCATTAATGCAGCTTTATCTGAACACGTCTGTTCTGTTTCTTTGAAAGAGGACTTTGAAAGAGGACACAGTAATGATCAGTCACACCTACAACAGCAATGTTTAGACCTTAGAAATAACTAGCTTTAAAACATGTTCGTGTTATGTGTTGGTTGAATAAATGTGTTCTTTAGCATGTACTAAAATGATTAACACCAAACACTGATACTTTCATTATAAAGTTTTATTTTACCATCTTACTATTGCTTATTTCATCCTGAAAAGGTAAATATTTTAGTTTAGTCTGATTATGTTGCTGCACATTTTAATATGCGGTGTCTAGTACCTTTTCCAACCCATTGAATGGGGTCACTAAGTTTGACCCAGTTTAAATGACCCAGTATCCATCTCTCAACAGCATAAACCCTGCATGCAGTTTAATAACATAACCAGGGTTTATTTTGTGTAAACACTGTTGAAGGATATGCTAGGAGGGAATTTGGGCACTTCATCTCCATTCCTTAGAAATGTGTCAGTTGAGGGACCGAAAACCAAATATTTGAGAATGTTCAAGAGTAAGATGCAAGTGAAGATAAAAGACAAAATGTACAACAATATGCTTAAAACCTCCTCTTCAGGTTGCTGTGAGAACAAACAACTGAAACATAATTACAAGCTTTGTCTTTTAGCTGTTTCACTAAATGCTTTTTATTTCAACTCTGTCTACCTGCTTGCATTTATCAGCTATAAATTATCGCCTTGTCCTTACAAGGTTTTTTCTGATTCAATAGCAGGAAATTACAGCATTTACTGCAGCTGTATTTTAAATGGCCTCAGTCCTATCAACAAAAGGCCAAGTTGCAAGTTGGTATAAGCCCTTTATGCAATAATTTTTAGTTATATTAAAATCCAACAGCTAGGCTTATAAAGGAAGAGCTTTAATGCTATCAGAGCAGAAATAATTTTGGTTGGTAAATTTTGGGTCATATGCTTCCTTTGAGTCATCAGTTTGATGATCAATTGGCCTACTGATGTAATTCTGCCTGTAAAGTAATGTAACCATAAGTATAGTAGTAAAGGGACCCAGAATTTGTGTCAGTTGATAGTAACACTTTAGTTATTTAGTGACCACAAAGGTTAGTGTGAGTAGTCTGGGAAATGACAAAACAAAACTACAAAAAAAAAAAAAAAAAAAAAGTCAAAGGAGGCTTGGATTTTCATAACATGCATTTGCGTCACAAACATGAGGCTTTGTTTCTGGAAAAAGAGTACATTTACTGGTACTTCTGCTTCTGGAATTAGGTCTTACACGCCCCCTGTGGCACTCGGCCAGATAATACTATAGATCGTAATAACTCAGTGTCACCAGAGCAACTGTGTGGAAAGGTTAACCTACCAAAAATGCAGCCTCTCTTTCAGGTGCAAATACAGTAGGTAGGGTCACAATTTGGCATTAACAAGATGAAAACAAATCATTCCTGCCTTGTTTTAGTGCTTCAAGCTGGTGGAGGTGTAATATACAGTGTTTGTTGTTTAAAGGGATAATATCTAACAAAATAATTTTTTTTGTGTTAACAATAATACATTGTAAATCCTTTGTCAAGATCATGCCTTAAGTAGTATTTTTGCTTGATCCATGCATAATGTAATCTTCTGGAATTTTTTCTGGACAGCAGTTCCCCTGGAAAACAAATGGCCATAATTATCTATAAAACAATGATTACCCACCCCCTCCAGAAAGTACCTACCTTGACCCTGCTGTGACTGCCCAGTAAACAACTTGCTCACAGGGTGGTGTAAGGCAGAATCATTGCTGCTCAGAATTAATACGAAGTGGCTCTTTTAGCATCAAATCTGCACAGTGACAGAAATTGATCTTTTTTAGCTAATGACTGACTAATGAAAATTTGTTTTTCAGCTGCGAGGAGTTCAGCCTGATCTCCAGTGCCAGGAAACCAGGCTACAATGGCTCTATGGTGACATCATGAGCAGCAACCACAGGGGGAGTGAATGCAATGGTCTTTCTTTAAGGTTTTAAAAATAGCACCAGAAAGCCACCATATTTCATAAAATTGATTATGCTGTAGTGCCAAAGGTAATATTTACTCAAATTTGTTTTTAGTTGACTGTAAAAGACTTTTAAAAACCTTACTGTTTATAGAACCTTATGCCACTGCCTATCTAAGTGTACCCAATGGCACAAAGCGCAACATTAACTTTAGTCCTACACAGCCAACAAGTCAAAATTCAACAAAATGCTTTTCGGGTGAAGTGGTGTGATAACATGTACTTATAATTATAAATCATAATTTCCATCCAAAGCATGTCCTTTTAGTTATCTTTATTGTGCACACTGACACATAACTATTATAACGTGTCTCCTATCTGTCTAATCATCTAGTTGTTCTATGTTCTGGTCTATATGTATTTCTATAGGTGACATGGGTATGCTATCCCTGTGGTGGCGTGGGTGTAGTACTACATATTAAATTACTGAGGATACTACAGGTGGGAAAAGAGATTTGTATCAAATGCGTACATCTGACAACCCGACCCCAACTTTGGGATGCTGTCATGTTAAAATGGATCACAAATCCTTAATTTCTGTGAATCTTTTTCTGACTCCTTGTTAAATTTTATGGAGCATTAAGGCAGTCCCAAAGGTAAAGCTGGGTCCAACAGCAAAGATAAGGTAGCAAGTCATTTTATGCCATTGTAGTGCATCAATGTTTTATATATGTTTGCCTTGTCGACACAATAATAGGCCCGTAAGCAACATTATCTGGGTGGACCCCATATGAACTACCTCTGGATTACCCATAATTCCAAATTGTAATGTAAACAATAAAATACTCAAAAACATAGTTTTTTAAAGCTATTTTTTATTTTTTTTTTTTACCATCCATCTAATGAACTTTACACAGTTATTAACATAGTAATTAAAAGTACCACTGTGTGCACCATCATGTTGAAATCTGCCGTATGTGGGTGTATAAATATGGTCCGGTCAATAATGCTGTGGCATCAGGTGGGTTAAAGACGAATTTATCGCACTATTTTTATCTGAAAGGAGACGTCTTAGTCTACATTTGCATAGGGTGTTTAACTATCGGTAAGTTAAGTTACACAGTTGTACGAGAGAATGTCTGATTCGACGAAAATATATGCGGCTATAATTTTGGGTTGCGCTCATTTGCCTGCCGTTCCTGTTTCCCTGGAAACGGATCCGGCTGCTGTGCTCTGATTGGTCCATCGGCAATATGTGTAAGTCGCTTCCTTACCTGCCTGCTGTTAAAGAAGGTCTCGTACCTGCCGCGTCTGCTGCAGCGCTTCGCGAAGCTTTACTTCCAGGAACAGCCCGGAGCTCTGAGGTTTTATTGCCAGCTATGGACTGAGAGCGGACAGCGCCTATGTGAGTCCATATGAAGAGAGAAAGAACCGAAACATCTGTGGAAATATAGAAGCTTTCTCAACACAAGTGAGTTATTTTAAAACTACCACTCTGACGTCACACGCGTCTCTTTCTTATCCAAATGTAATGATAGTAAAATAACGCCTAAACTATTATATATATATATATATATATATATATATATATATATATATATATATATATATATATATATATATAATATAAATTACTTGAATATTTACTATTATTTAAAATAATAATATGTGTTGGCTGATTGAAAAGTATTTTCCTTGTTTTAGATGATGTTCTATTTTTTTTTATGTAAGATTCTTTTTTTAAGTGTTGAAAATGTTTATTAGTTTAAACTTTTTTTTTCAACCAAAATGATCCAATGAGAATATCTACTTTAGTGGACATTGCTTTGGGAGGAATGCTAATATTTGTTCATTAAAGTCAATAAAAGCTGTTCAGCAGGGATAAGCTGCCAAGCTAAACATTAATGAACAATTTTCATTCAGCCCTCCAGGCTGAGGGTTGCTCAACATGATGCTGCCCATGACCTTTTGTATGGGCTACAGTAAATCATTAACCAGATCAAGCAGACCTTCTGCTGTTGAAAACATACTTATTATTGGGACCTTGTGTGTTTTATCACACTTGTAATTGTGCCCAAGGAGACAGTAAATTATGTTCTGTTTTTTTTTTTTTTACAAGTCTGGCAGAAAAAAATGTACTGATGGAAACTAGTGATTATTCCATGTTAGTTCAAATAGTTTTGCTGCAGGTGAACTGTGATACCCAGTCACATCAGAGCTCAATCAGATCTGTCTCAGCGCCAAGAGAACAAGTAAAGTGACATTCCTGTCATCATTAGATCTTATTCAGCTGTGGGTGCTACTTCAGGTGTTTTTTTTTTTTTTGTCTTGTTCAACCCTGGAAGGTGTTGGCTCGTTGCTCCTATCTTGCTTTTTAAAAACTGAATGTCCTAATGGGAGGGACAGTAATTAGTGGCTATTGAGGCTTTTGCACGGAGGTGTGTTTAGTCAACCACCTTTTGTTTTAGAAAAAACTATTGTTAATATGGGCGTTTTTGAAGATCAGTTTGTTTGTTTTTTTCCCAGCTGCCTTAGCTGAGTGTTTATGTCAGCAATTCCCAGCACTTCCAAAATATGAACAGCCATTCCAGTGTCCAGGAATGCTTTTGTTGGATTTGCAAGTGAAATGAAAAGATTGCAAATTAGTTTCTAGTGTATCATAAAAATTGGTACTTATTACTTTCTTTTAGAGCAAGCCCTACCTATTTATTAAGTAAACACCATTATCTCTGTTATACAGGCGTATATAGAATAATATTAAAAAGTTACTTAATTTCAGTATGTAATTTAGAAATAAAACTCTATTGCATAGATTAATTACATACCGGTAAATATATATTTTAGAGATTCATCATGTCCCCTTTGACCATTCCATCTTATAGCTAATCAATCCTCTGCTTCCTGCTTCTCAGAAGAAGTAGAGTTCCACATAAGAACAAAAATACAAAGAAACATATATTAATATGTGAACCATATGGTATGCTTTACTTGGTCAGAACTTGTTTTGCTTTAATTAAACCGATAAATGCAGTACAGAAATAAAGGGAATCAGTCTGGATTTTTAATGAAAGCTGAGGTTGACTGAGACCTTCAGCAGATTTGCTTTCCTTGGTCTTATGCCTCTCCTGCTCATCTTGACAGTTGTTTGTAGATTCTCTATACCTGGAAATTGGTTAGTTAACAATGACCTAAACTATACCTTTTCATGCAATACCTTTGGCAGTGTGGGCAGGACCAATGGCGTAAATATCAGTAAGCAGCTACAGCAGTTGCTTAGGGGCCCACAACCTCTTAGGGGCCCCTTCACTGACACCCTGTGGGTCCCCTACAATTATAGACTAGGACGTCTCTTTACAGATGTAATGGTGCAAAAAATTCGTCTCAAACCCACCTGGTACTGATACTGAAATGACTGACCGCACCGGACCGTATTATACCCCAACATATGGCAGATTTCAACATGATGGTGAGCCGTTTAAACACGACACCAATAGCAAAGCAGACAGTAGTACTTTTAATTACTATGTTAATAACTGTGTATAGTTCATTAGACGGTTGGTAAAAAAAAAAAAAAAAAAAAAAAAACTCATATGTTTCAGTATGTTCGATAAGCATCTCCCTGACCTGAAATTAGTTTTTAAAAGTGGGAATGTCTGTAACATGTGGTGGTGCGCAGTTACAGTGTGTGATGTGTGATCATATACTACTGAGAATTACAAATTAGTTTCTTCTTGGCCAGTTTATGGAACTGTTGCCGTATCCTGAACCTTTATCACGTGTTGTACTTCATATGAGGCTTATGGGCCTATTGTTGTGTCATTACGCCATTGGGGAAGACCCAAGTCCTTCTCCAAAATGAAATTGGCATCCCCCAGCCAGCTCGTAATCAAAGGGAAACATGAAATGCTTTAATGTTTCCTGGTAAGTATGGTAAACTTGGACTATATAAAATACAGAGGACTAACAGCAGCAGTCACGGCATCTTAAATAAACTCTGACTGTGGAAATGTCACACTTGAACTCAGGCAACCTCAATCCTGTTCCCCGTCCCTTGGAAGACTGGTCTTCTAGCCGGCAATATAGCCAAAATATGCGTGTTTGTCATCTTCTTTATTGGTCAAATGTTGAATGCGTGCCCAGAAACAGGATTTGGGTTTTTTATCAACTGCAAGTCGCAGTCCTCTAAATGAATATAAATAAATGCTTAATACATATTGCTTTGTGCAGTAGATGTTTTATTAGACTTTCAGTATTTGATTAAATGAGTTAATATTGTTCTGTAAATTTGTTTAAATTCCACGCTAAACTTCTGATATTATTGTCAGCAATTAAATCTCAATCAAGTCTCATTTTAAATAATGGGGGTTGAAATTGTTCCCAATAAGCATTAACCTGAATTATTTTCATTGAGTCTTTGATTGTTTCAACATACTGAGGGAATTTAGAGAAGCTGAGATACTGTCTCCCTGTTTCCTCCCTCAGTTTAAAGCAGGCGTTGTTAGATATGCTTGTGTGTGATCTTTCAGTTGGACATTTTTGATATTTGTTTTAATGAAAATTTTATTTTTATTTACCGAAACTTAATTTGAAACCTTTCGACATATGGATGCGTTTGTATCGCATAACTTTACACCTGAGATGTGCTACTTTAATAACCCTGCAAACAGAACAGCTTATTGACATAGTTCTACTTTCATTTCAGTTGATCTCATATGGTTATTCAAATTTTCTGAGATAAAAAACAATAAAGGTATGCTTTTCTGCTGTGGTGAGCCATTTGAAACAGACTATATGTTGGTGCACCCAAAATTAAAAACCTGATTGTTCGTCATTAAGAGTAAATTATTATTATTTTTTTTTGTATGGTTACAAGCTATTTTATCTTATTTTTTTAAGTGAAACAACACATCTCAAATAACTTTTATTGTATTTCCTATCTCTGTTCAAAGTATTTTTCTGGTTTTGTTTCCCCTTTTGAAAAAAAAAAAGCTGCTAATGAGGTTGTGAAAGTTTTACATCCTTGTAACCCCTTATCAGAAGAGTTATTGGGTGTATTGTTTGAGCCAGGCATACCTTCCTCTTGACTGACATGACATCCAGGAAGCAGAGAAAAACTATGTACCGGTAATGTCACACAGCTCACTAGTCATCTTCGCCTCAGTTCAACACTGTATACATTTTGCTTTGCATTGTTGTTGGTCCCTTATAGAGTAGTACCCAGACCCCCCGTCCCCTCAGTCATCTTGGGTCTAATTTATGAAACATTTGATATATAATACATTTCAGAATTTTAACTTGCCTTAACCACCTTGCAGTTTCCTTGCAAATCCCTGCTGCACCTCAACATTTTGAGTTCCACCTCAGGTTCTGCTCTCTACAAGCTTACATTAAAACAAAAATGGTTTTTGCTAAAGACCTTATGAATGTTAATGAGTATTTGAAAAGTGCAGTTTAATCCAGGCTGAAATAGATGTGTTTGTGATGTGTGGACTGGTCATATTAAGAGTACTATCCAACACGGATAGCAGTATTGAGCAGTATCTCAAACCTGTGGATAATTTCACTGAATTATTTATTCCCAAAAGTGGCTTCAGACAAAGAGTTAATTCACTGCTGATTATGTTGATCACCTGTGAGATAATTCTTGCTATGGTGCTCATAACAGCTGTAATTGTAAAAAAAACAAAAAACAAACAAACAAAAAAAAAACAACACAAAAATCTGTATAACCAGAACTCTGTGGTATCTTTAAGATTTAATATGGGAAAAAAATGGACAGATCTTAGTTGCATTTGCTCATTAGATTAAGGTATTTCCTGATAGATATGTGGATTATCTATTAAGCTGACTACCGCTCATGAACTATAGCTGAAACACATCAATTTCTTGCAGATGGTATGTCCTACCTATTGGTTGGACAGTTGCACTAATGAATCTGCAGATACTTGCATACATCAGCCAGTACCAATTTAGGAAAAGGAAAAAAACAAATGCTAGTACCAGCAGGCCCATGTCTATCTCTAGTGGCGTTAGTCCAGGCGGTCTTTCTCTCCAATATTTGATACAGTTAAGCACATAGATACCATTGTTCTAAGGAAAGTAATGAACTCAAGCCAGTCATAATCATGGGCTAGGTATTTTTGGTGACTTTGAAAATGTGTTTCTTCCTGATTCTCCAATTTGCAAAGTTTTGTAACAATTCCTTTCTTACTCTGTGGCACACATCACCTTGCTGAACATTGGTAAGAGGAATGTGAAAGTGAGAAAGCATTTCAATATCTAAAGACTGATTTAAGGTTAAAGTTGGCTTGTAGATCAAATGTAGAATGACTCACAAACCCAAGCATATGTATTATACTGTGGTTTTTAATGGTTATGATAAAGTCAGTTTATTAATAAAGTTTGATATGGAGTGAAATTATATTCTAAGCAACCATGAGACAGTGTTGCTTTAATTCCCCACCTCATCATCTGCATTGCCATTTTCCTCTTTCAAAAATATGTATGCATGGGTCAGTGTATGCATGAGGACTGCATATGTTCCTGTCAACAACCTGTGCATAGAAAGAGGCTTAAAAATGTTTTTTTTTTTTTTTAAGTTTATGTAACCTTTATAAATGACTGTGCAGCTGGAGCAAGAAGAATGGCTAAAGACCACTCAAAAAGAGGAGCAAAACATTCTAATTATATTCAGCTTCTCTGCATAAATGAAGGTACCACATCCTTATAAACAGTTTTAGGTTTCACTGCTGTTATTTGCATCATGCAAATTTAATGTTGGAAGCTAAATAACGGTAATCTTAGATAAATTTTAATGTTATCAGTTATTTGCAACTTTTCTAAACTCTTTTTGGTGTTTGAAATGAAGAGTGCTTTTTATAATCTGGTAGATCCTTTTAACTTGATTTAACAAGATTAGCAGGTTCTTTTGATGCAAATTTTAAAAATACTAAGTATTTCTTTTTAAAGTAATAAAGGTAAACCTCCTGCAAGAAACATGCAACCTCAATGATTGTGATCATTGATAGCTACAGTTCATTTTGCATCCTGTGCTCTCTGATATGTTCCTCTTGAGTGCACCTCAGCCTCTAGTTCAGTTTTGAGCTAGAATTTCAAGTTTTCTTGAAATGGGCCAGAAGAAAAATGTGTAGTAATTTACATAATGTTAATGAGATTTTTTTCCAAAGGTTTTTTTTTTTAGCAAAACAGTGAACTCAAACACATCCCTTGGTCTTATTGAAATTTCTTTAAAAAAATATGAGAATATATAGAGTGACAACCTTACACATTTCAAGCTAATCAAATTGTCTTTTTAATGTCTTAAAGCATTTATATTAGTAAACTATACTTGATGCAAACTTGGGCTCTAGTGTTTATCTTTCAGATGGGCATCTAATTTGAATGAAAGTGAACTTACTAAGCTGATCTATAGCTGCCGTAAGTCTCCTACAGTATATTGGCTTGCAATGGGCTCCTACCCTTCAAACTATTTCCTATTTTATTTTTCCTTGAACCCTACAGTGAGCAGGCTGGTCCTGCCGGAGGTTTCTTCCTGTTAAAGTCGGGCATACACTGTGCGATTTGTTCAGTCAGTCAAAACATAGGGTTTCGTCTTACAGTGCGAGTTCACAGCTCACGATGCATGTTCAGCACGATGCTCTGATGCGATCTACCTGCTCAAACTGTACTTCTAAAAACCATGTCGCACTCAGCTCCGCAGTGAGATGGCGCTACTCAGACTCGTCTATCTGGAATCCAAATGAGTAGAAGAGGAATATGAAGCTCATTAGAGTGAAACGCACTGCCTTGGCAATTTGTGCAATTTTGTCTGCTGAAAGCCCTAAAAAGAAAAGGCAACGACGTATTTGGACAAAGACATGGGTGAGCAAATGTGGTAACTATGGTCTGTCAATTTTACAGAAAGAACTCCCAATTCATTCGCACCCCCACCATGCTTCTGTGTTTTCATCTGTAAGGAAGAAGAGGAAGGGGAGTCCTTATTTGCGCATGCCAACTGAGCGATTTGCCCACAACGGTCAAATGAAAATCAAAAATGTTTGTTTTTCTTCCGACCTCAGGATTCCTGATCGGCAGGTAGTCATGAGAGGCTGATCCCCATCCATTACCTCCTGTACACTACACGACATACGATCAGGCTAAAAGTCGGCCTGATTGGAAAATTCTCGAATGACTGGAAAATCGCCCCGAAAAGAGCAAAAGAATTCCCACAGTGTAAGCCCGGCTTAAAAGGGAATCTTCCTCTCCACTGTTGCTACATGCATCTCAGTGTGGGGGATAACGAAATTGTTGTTGCATGCAGCAACTATGTCTAGCAAATCAATGATAGGAGGCAATCAACTTTTTTTCATTGACAGAAACTTTAAGCCATTCTGACCGTATTGTCTCTGTAAAGTACCTCGCGATGACGTGTTCTAAATTTGCGGTATATAAATAAATTAAACAGAATTTTATTGAATAACTTTGTTCGTGCTCAGCCCAGATCAGGGCTTTCTATTGTTAACTCCAGATGAGTGACTTCTTTTTAGCTTTTTAAGCTATGTTCTTCAACAAATGAGTTGGTATACCTAACCTTATTGGCCATCTGAAAGACACATGACTCTAGTCTAATATCTTCAACCCAACTTTAATTTGTTCACATGCAATCACCTTTATGCACCTAAATATTTCAAATACACTTAAAAAGTCACTTTCTTTCTTTTTCTTTATATTTTTCATGTTGCAGCACAAGTAAGCTGTTATATATAAAAAAACAATTAATACAATATGTTTATATCTGCTTTGCAACTTGAAGGAAATCTTTTGTAATACAGTGACTTTAAGGTCTCTCAAACGCCTGTTTGTTGTTGTCTTCAAACTTTTCTTTCTTAACCTTACAGATTACCTCCCAGAGTGACAAGTAAAACTTAAACAAGCAAGACTGGACAGCGACAAACAGAACCAGCAGTAATACACGTCTTTGTGCAATGTCTAGGAGTGGCACATGGCCAGGCAATGTTGCCATGGAGTCCTTGAGTAATGTGGACAGTGCAGGGAGCTGTGATAGTGTAATCAGCACAAACTCTGTGTGGGTGAGTGGCGCCGCAAGTCCCATCATGTCTGTCTTTTATTTGTTGTTCAATGCCTTTTTCTTTAAGGTCAGTTATAAAATAAAAGGAAGAAACAAAGTTTGTGTTAAGGGTTGTAATTATCATTAACAGACAGAAATGGAGCAAAATCTGGAGCAACTCAAGTTTAACCCACTGTCCTTTAATATTATTCAGACCAGAGAAAACATTAAAGGGCATATGTCATTGCGTTCAGACATGCTTACAATAGCTTTGTTAATTTAAAAAACTCAAAAGGAAAAAGGGAACCACATGACAGCTAAAAATGCAGCCAAATATTACAGAAAACGGATTATATCTCATCTCAACTGCAATAAATCTGTAGTTAGTTTCCATACAGCAATATCCTCACACATATATCCTTTGACCCTAAGAAGTCACTTAGAGCTAAAGTTCCACATGTTTTGGATTGAAGAGACATCGCCAAACCCAGATGGCATTTGCATTTCTAAGGACAGCTGAGGACACAGAAGAAACAAAATATGCTACTGAAGCAAGAAAGGATGGTCTTACACAAAAATAACATATTTTCACATAAGCTTGTTGCATTTTGCTTGTTGCTTCCCTTAGTTTTAATATCCAATTTGTTTTCATTATCCACTGGGAAACATCTTTACAGTGGACAGTGTGTTTGGAATTGGTGAGGAAAAATCTATTTTCTCCAACTGTTTACTTCTACGGATCCTGCCCTCATGTCCTGCAAATGTTTTTAGCTACAAAAGAGCCCCCTTTATCCATTTTCTGTGATACTCCTGTAAAAAAAATGCTTATTTGTGCATTTGCTGCCACAGAGAACGACATTCTTTGAGACATGGGACACAAAATCTATTGATATCTGACCAATATGGCTTAATGTTTTTGTTTTTAGGACTCAAAATGTTCCTTTTGTCCTTTACAAATATTTAAGATCGATGGAATTCTGAATTAAGTAAATGCTTAGTTTGTTTAATATTATTTTGCAGAGCCAGGATAGTATGGAGCACCTATCTGCAGAGGAGAAGGCATGTCTGATGTATCTGGAGGAAACAATCGAAGCGTTGGAAGTTCAGGAAGACAGTGGCTTATCAAATGATGAACCAGACGTGTTGTCAAGGGCAGAACCACACAATCAGTTAAGAAGAAATGGTATGCTCTGTCAAATATTTGTTTTGTTTGATGTCTGCATCAGTTGAATGTTTCATGCACTGTTTGATAAAAAGTGATTGAAGTTTTAACTTCAATGGTTTTTCTTTCTTTGATTGTCCATATGAAATGCTTGGGTCAGGAAGTCACAAGATCTCCACACCAACCACCCACCCAGCAACAGATCCTCTACTCACTGGGTTAACCAGAGCACGTGAAAGTCAGCGTTATACTACACCACAAACTGCTTCCAGTTCTGTAGTTGACATGAAAGATCCTGAAAAGAAGGACCTGAGGGTTGAAACTGATACTATCGTCTCTGATGGTGCTACTGGTTACACATCATCATCAGAAAAAACAACTGAGGGGTCAAAGTTAAATTCATCAGAGGCCTCAGAGCTTGATCTGGAAATAATCCCTCCTCCTACAGACTTCATGGATGAATCAGACCTGGCTGTTCCTCCAGAGACAATGACTGTGCTCCCCCCACCTGCAAACGGCTCTTTAGAGCAAAAAACAACTCTTGACTTGCAGCAGATGCACCAGAGATCCTCTTTGAGAAAACCTGTAACCTTCTCTGCTACTGAAGATTCTCCAAGCAAACACTCAGAAGTTCCCCTCACTCCCCTAATGAGTCCCCCTGCTGATTTTCCAGAGCCCAGAAGTCCACCTGCTGTGGCCCCAAAACCTACGAAGCTTCCTACAAACATCTTGTTAAAGTCACAAAAATCCCCAACATCTCAGTCACATGGAAACCCAGGGCATGTGATGCCTGCCCAAAGTGATCGGATGATTTTGGACCCTCAGAAAACTCGGATTGAGGCCCTCCGGAAGCTTGGATTGCTAAAAGACAACGAAGAGAAATCCAGCCCTGTTGTTAGCCCTAATCTTCCTCTGAAATCTGCTGCAAACAGAGGCTCACAGAGCCACTCTCCACCAGTCAGTCCTGGTGCTCCTCATTCACCACCTAGAACCCCATCTCTCACCCCAGTTAATAACCCCCCTCCAGCACTCACCGCTCAAACATCACCTGCTCCGGTTGTGTTACCATCAGCCTCTTCTGCATCCCCTCCCATCCAGGATGCTGAAATCCTCCCAGCACCAGCAGCTTTCTGTGATCCCACTGGGCCTGTAGATAACCAACTTTCTGCAGACACTGAGACAAGTTTCAGTACCTCTTCTAATACCCCATCTGTACCGCTTAATCAGCTTACCCCACCAAAGGTGATTGGTATGAAATCTGCAACCTTGGAGAGATCAGGCTTAGGTCTGAGCAGCCAGATGTCCGCTCAAAACTTATCCATGAGAGCCAGCGACGAGAAAGACTCAAAGCACCTACGCAACACTCGGCCTCGACCTGCTTCTCTGGGAAGTGGGAAAGACTTTTCTCACGCTAAGGGAGATGGTTTGGTGGCAAGTGGATCGCCACACTCTCAGAAGCCCCAGTCCACACAAGCTTCCCACCAGAGACAGTCTTCCAAACTGCCTAGATCACAAGGCATCAGTGTGCTGATCTGCCCTCGCTCAGAGAATGAAGATGACCGACGTGAAGCCCTAAAGAAACTAGGACTGCTCAGGGACTGAGTCAAGACCTCTTTTATATACTATAAAAAAGAATAAGACAGACTATATCTGGATTTAAAACTCTTACAGAGTGCCTTAGCCACATGTTTTTGCTTCTGTTTTCCACAGAATGAGCTTCTAAGGAATTGGAATCGAGGGGACTGGCATGACACATGAACAGTTCGTTAGTTCTCTCATATCAGACTTATGATAGCTGTAAGTTATATAGTTATATATATATATATATATATATATATATTAGAAAAAAATCCTTTTGCCTTTGGAAACCTTAACAATCTTTGTTGTTTTTTCTGCTGATTTGTTTGACTTAATCCCATAGGATACTGCATGTTTCGACCATTCACCATTTTCTACTTCAGCTGTTGGTTGTTTCACAGCAGAGTTTTTTTGGGTGCAGGCAGGAGTCACCTCCCACCAGATCTTTTTTAAGGCCCTTGTGCCAATTTGTCCCCACCTTTCATAACTGAGCTGTGATGTGGATCTGAAATAGGGGTGAAAGTAAACAAATGCATCCAGACTGGAGTCAATATAGTTTTGTTTTTAGATACTTTAAATACTTTATAATTAACAATCCATCTGATTTTCTCTTAAGTTAACTGTATGGAGGTTGTTGTGTAGTACATTCTTAGTTGTGAAGATGGTAATTTCTGATTCAGCTGAATCCTTTCTTTCTGTAACTAGAAGAAAAAAAATTTCTTGTTCGAAATCTGATACAGCTGCTTTGTTTGACACATATATGAAGAATCACAACTATATGACACTTTAGCTACAATGTGGAGTCAGTGTGGAAGTCACAGGTATCTGTGTCTTTATCTGAAGATAATATAACCAGCATTTATAAAGTGTCTTATTTATTGTAAACGAAGCGTCTGCCCCATGTGTCATGTCAAAGCAGACACTGACGCGCAGGTTCTCACGTTTGGTTTCTCCACTTTTTTGTTGTTGTTGTTGTGATGGTGGAAAAACAGGTTGCACCTGTTTCTCAGCCCTGATGGAACATTGTCGTTGATTACAGTAACTCGTCTGAGGAACTTGTTCACAGCTGAAAAATATCAAGGACAGGTGGATCTGTTCTTTTTCTCACATTTTCTTTTCACTTCAAGCTCTTTTTTGAAAATTAACCTAAAAATGTGAAACATGCAAAGTAACTATTTCAATAAAATGAATCACATTTGTTCCAAACCTAGAAATGTAGTTCTGTAGAATATAAAAATAGTTGATAAGAAATAAAAATAAAATAAATAGAATAAAATGTATACCTTGAACCTTTTTTTTCTTCTATTTTTTTTTACCTTACAGCTACTATCCTAGATGTATTTATCTTGGATTTTATGTGATAGCATTTGGTTTAAAGATGCAGTTTTTGAAAATCTTATATATAAATAAAGAAAAGTGTGGAATACATTTGTATTCAACCATAGTCTTTGCAGCCTTTAGGAGGGGTTTCTACTAGATTCTGCTTGCATTAAGCTTCATCCAGCTTCCCAGCAACAGTCAGCTTCACAATATTTTGAAAACATACGATAATAAGTGATAAAGTTTCGGAGTGTTTCAAAGATAATTTGACTTAGATAAATACATACTGTTTTGAGAAAGCTGCATCTATCTGGTAGAATAATAATTGGCAGAGAGCCTTGTTTTAGTTTTCGTAGCAGGAACATATAAATGCCTACCAAATAATTTTTTATTTTTTTTGTAAAGACAAGAATTACTTAACAATACTGGCACAAAAATCCAAAGTGCATGATCTGTATATAATTGGTTAATATCTTTTGAAGTTGAGATACTGATATTTCATATAATGATAACAATAAATCAGAATAACCTGCTGTCCTTATCAGGCTTTCCTGCTTCTTTTGAATAAAAACATGTTAGCAGAACAATGTTTTACGATAATGAGGTAAAAAAGTGAGATAAAAAGTGATGTGTTTGATTTCGGCCACAAATAGCTTTTATTTTTATACTCATATGTTACATTTTTATCTAATCTTGTTTCCTCTTTATTGGTCGAGCTTCAGAATTGATTTAGAATCTCCCGTTAACACATTCTTCCACATGTACTATATATACACATCACATTAAAACATTACCAACTATGTAGTACTTTCTGTGATCTACTCCATCTCATAGAAGCCCATAAACTTAAGCATTGTGTGGAAGATGTCTTTAAACCTAGCAAGACTGAGAACAGAGGATTATGTTTAATTTCATAATTTCGCATTATATTAAAGGTGTGGTTTTTCTTTTAGTCAATGAGCGTTTTTTTTAACATTAGTTCAATCCCGCTCCCCATTTGCATTATTTGTAGACAGGATATTTTCATATCTTGATGTGTTTATTTTTATACATCTTGCACAAAAGACTAACTGTCAGCGAAACATTCAGCAAGAAGGTAAAAAGTGGATTTAAATATTACTTTGACTATTAACAAATATTTGGTTCTGCCCTGCAATAGACTAGTAACCTGTCCAGAGTGTAGCTGCTCTGACCTGTAGACTGCTGGAGAGATAAAAACCAGCCCCATGTGATCCTGACTGATAAGTCGAAAAAGTGGGATTGATGGATGGATGTTTGTTGAACTGCATCAAAGTACCACATATAACATGTTGATAAAGCTACGAGTTGTTTCGTTTGATTTTTTAAAGAATCTCTGGGGAAAGTCACTAATTATTTTCTCATGGCCTCAGATAATAGAGTTGTTGCTGTACTTGACAACTTAGTGCTGCATTTGATACAGATGATAATAATATCCTTTCAGAAAGACTTGAATATTTTGTATGAATTAAAGGAACAGAACAAGGTTAGTTCAAATCTTATTTAGCTAACAGATTTCATTTTGTTTGTGTTAATGATAAATTTTCAACATGCTCCAGGGTTACCTGTGGGGTATTAAAGGGATCAGAGCTAGGGCCAATTTTCTTTTTTCTTTACTATATATATACTCCCAATTGGTAGAACAATGAGACAGCATGAGATTAATTTCCACTGTTATGCTGATGATACTCAGTTATACAGTGGGTGAAATAAGTATTGAACATGCCACCATTTCCTCAGTAAGTATATTTATAGAGGTGCTATAGACACGACATTTTCACCAGATGTCGGTACAATCCATGCAATCCACACATACAAAGGAATCAACCATATATTTTAATTAAATTAAATTCAGTTTATTTATATAGCACCAATTTACAACACAAGTCATCTCAAGGCACTTTACAGTTCACCAGATCATACAGTCAAATTGATTAAAAGTTTTCTATCTAAGGAAAACCAGTTGGTTGCATCGACTCATTGACTGGGATGCAATCCCTAACATAAAGCATGCTTGTAGCGACAGCGGAGAGGAAAATTTCCCTCTTAACAGGAAGAAACCTCCACCAGAACCAGGCTCGGTGTGAGCGACCATCTGCCGAGGCCGACTGGGGTTCAAGGAGACAAGCAGAAATACAAAAAGCAACTGTAAAAGGCGGTCTGTCCAGGAAACGGACAGCAAGGCAGACGAGCTCCGAGCCAGGATGAAGAGAGCATATCCAGCCAGTCAACATCTATAAACAAGGGTGTTGATGGCAGCAGCACAGCTGATATTTCTCTCCAGGGTGGCATCACAGCCAAACAGGAACAGATGAGGCTACTATGAGAAAAGGCAGAGAGAGCATAATGTTAGAGATTGAACTAACAGATTTTGCAGATTGGGAGAAAAGAGATAGAATGAAGCTGAGTGATAAAATGGGGGCCCCGATGTCCTCCAGAAGTCTAAGCCTATAGCAGCATAACTATAGAGATAGCTCAGGATAACCTGAGCCACTCTAACTATAAGCTTTAGCAAAAATTAAAGTTTTAAGCCTACCCTTAAAAGTAGACAGGGTGTCTGCCTCACGGACTAAAACTGGTAGTTGGTTCCACAGGAGAGGAGCCTGATAACTAAAAGATCTGCCTCCCATTCTACTTTCAGAAATTCGACGAACCACTAGTAAACCTGCAGATTGAGAGCACAGTGCTCTGTTAGGAACATAAGGAACAACCAGATCTCTGATATAAGATAGAGCTTGGTCATTTAAGGCTTTATATGTGAGAAGGAGGATTTTATATTCTATTCTGGATTCTATTTCTTTGTTGGCAGTGAGAGCTTCAAGATGCCTCCTGTATGAAGAAATTAGTTGCATCCATTGCTTAGGTGTGACTTTGGCCAATTCTTCCACACAAACAGTCTTCAAATCTTGTAGGTTTCATGAGCTTCTTCTATGAACTCTAAGGTTTAGTTCTCTCTATAGATTTTCTTTTGGATTCAGGTCAGGTGACTGGCTACTTTATTTTCTTGCTCTGAAACCATTTATGATTTTCCTTTGCTGTGCTTTACTTATTGTTTTCTTTGAAACAATTGGACCTGCTAATTCCAGGTCTTTCTGGAGCTCTCCACAAGTGGTCTTTGGCTCCTGGAAAACTCTTCAGATAATTGTTTTCTCTCCTCTGTCAGAAATGTTGCGAGGAGCACCTGGCTGTGGTATCTTTATGGTATAATGAGGTTCTTTCCACATCCAGATTATGGCCCCAACAGTGCTCACTGGAACATTCAGAAGTTTAGAAATCCTTCTGTAAACAATGCCATCATTAAGGCAGTGAAGGTCTTGAAAAAGCTTTTTAATTTTACCCATCATGAGATGATTCCTGTGTGATACCAGAGACACCCCTTTATAGGCCATCATTTGTGACTGAACCAGCTAATATTGATTTAATTTTCTTTATAAAAAACAGGCTACTGCCTCAAATTTGCAGTTGAATCTTCAAGGAAAGGTGTCCTTTATCTGACAATAACCCAAAAAGTCTGCATTACAACATGCCATGCATGTCAGAGAATGGAGCTGCAGAAATGAACCAAAGTTTACTTTAATCTCTCCAGTGTTGCCGTTGCAAATTCTCACAAGTTCTCAGTGTTATACTCCGTTTATTTTGTGCTCTGTGTTGTTTTTTTTTTTATTTAATTTTTATTAAAACTAAAACTAGTTTAGTAAAACTAGCTTTAAGGCTCCTGATCTGGTCTGAAAACAAATCTGTTATTGTCTTTTCTTTCTATGTATCAAGAAATGCATTCTTACACAACTTGTGATCCGAAAGCAAATTTCTCAATATATATAAACTTAGCAATGTTGATGTATTATTATTACATCTTTTAATTTGTATGATTTTACCTAATCACGGTAACAATCATCATAGAAAAAAAATTCTCAAATAATTATAGCTTAAATCAAAACAAGGAATACAAGTTTAAAGAGTGATATTCATTAGATAAAATATACTTATCTAGATGCTCCTCCTAGCCCTGTTTTATGTGCTTAACTCTCTCCTAGAGACAAGGAAGATTTTGTTTTAATTAATATTTGATTATATAGAATCAAATTTTAAATCAGCGTCACTCAAAAGTATGGAAGACCCAGTGAGAATATAGTGGGAATATCCTTGACGGCGGTAACCAGGTATGTATTGTCTGCTTTCCTCACCCACCCAGGGCAGACGACACAGCTAGATAAAGTCAATAAGACAGTTCTATTTATTTATTCAATTTAAAAAATATGTGTATTTGTAACTTCATCTGTAAAGATTTTACTCATTTCCTATATTTGGCATCTAAATGCCCTTTTAGAAAGGGCCTGCTGTATTTAAGCTATGAACTTATTCTCCACTAGAGGGCAGTCTAGATTCATCAACTAGTGTAGCTATTGACAATTGAACTCAGAATCCTAGTAGAATCATATGAATACGGAAATATTTTCCATGTATCTAAATTATTTAGTTTTTATGTAGACAATAGTAATACCTAAAACACTAACCTTCTGCTAACTCTTTATATATTTCCTGCTGTTGCCTCAAACTAATAAACAAGCACATTTTCTGGTTGTTTTCCTTTATAGTGAATTTGCTAAAGTGGGAAAATTACAGAGAAAGATCCTTTGGAAGTCATTTCAAGGAGAAAGAATATCAACATAATTTGTCATATTATTATAAATTACAATTCAAACTATATGCCCTAATTTAGCAAATTTTGCTTTTCCTATACATTGTTCATAATTTTTTCTTTGTTAGTTTTATTATCAAAATTATAATTACCTTACTTTACTGAGTTCTCATGGAGTGACGACAAGATGGCATTTTCTTCTTATGTTTAAATGAGTTTATAATTGATTAAATGCAAGAATGAATTTTCCACTTAGCTTGATTAAAACTGGAACTTCAAGACTTTTTGAAGATCACCTT